ACAGAAATGCTTGGAGAATCCTCTTTGGCAGTCATGTGCAATATGAGTGAACGAATGCACAAATTCTTTATCCAAAATAGCAAGACTCGTTTTCTTTGCCATGACATTTATTCTGTTTGTGCAAGTAAGAAAATACAAATCTGTAAAATGTAAACAGGCTATTTTATCCTTGGCTAGTGCTTGCAGATAAACTGTACTGATTGATATATTAAGCTAAGAAAAGGGATTAATAGAGAAGGCATACTTGGTAGGAATGGTACTCAGTGCTGAGAGAAAGAAATATATCTCCTGTATGTCCATAGACAGCAACGATTTCCTATGTTCTCATCCACAGGTTGCTGTGTTTCAGCTCTGTGAGGATGTTAACATACAGATAAGGTTGGGCTGTAATTTGAATGAAGCCATTTACTCTCTGTGTCAGTTACAGCTTTTACTGAATCTGCTCAACTCCATTGTAGCAGTGATTCAGGGAGGGAGCCTCTGTACAATGATCAGGCAATATAGTAATATATTAGTAGAACAGAAAAACTTCTCTGAATCTGATAAGGGAAACATGGAGTTAAAAAATAGACAGTGATGCATTTGAAATGGACATCTTGGACATGGATATGGATTCTGACTTGCAGTGCCTCCTCCTATAAAACTCATTATAAATGATATCTCAATTTTATGAAAAGAACTGCTAGTAGACATACTGAAAAAGTCAAGATTTCATAACCTCAGTTACACCCTTCCAAAGAAAAGCAGCAGAAAAGATAAAGAAATCTTCTGAAAGTATATAAACTTTTTAATCAAAAGTAGTACTTTACTTGCATCAGTTTTCATTTCCAACTATTACCAACCACCCAGTCAGGGAAAAATGGAAAATTTGAATTCCAGGATAAAAACAGAATCTCATGGGTCATTCTTAAAAAGATTTCAATAAACGTTTGTGGAGAGTGGGGAGAGGTTAATCACTTTCAAATGTTAAACACTGATACAGGGCAAACAAAATTAGAAATTTACAATCATAAGAAAATCCAAGTTAGAACAAATATTGGAAGTGGCTGGAATAGAAGAATAGATCTGCAATTGTGTTGCACATAACTGGATAAAGAAAAACACTATACCAAAAATGGGAGGTAAACGTTTAGAAAGTACCCTAACGATCTGCTTTTCATCTCTAATTCCTGTAGCAGATAAACACAACATCATTAAGTTCTGGGAAATGTTAAAAGCTATGCTAAGATGGTTGGTGTGCTTTTCAGGAAGCTATCATCAGTCTTTCAAGATACTTAGCAATTTAGAAGTGGGGTGGAGGTTCTTTTTAGCTATAGCAGCTATTAAGACATTTTCATGACTCATCTGAAAAAAAAGCTTGAACAGAACAATGTACAAACTGAAAATTATTCAACTCATTTATGAAAAGAAGGATCAGTTTTCCAATTATTTTAACACATTCATGTAAAGAGGGAAAATAGATGCTGACACAGAAAGTAAAGGGGAAGATGGGAAAAGCAAACCCATGCTGTAATACTTATACCCGTAAAGGAAAACTGCGTTAAAACCTTTCATAGCGATACACAGCTGTTTGTCAGAATTACAGATGTCTACGGCAAATGCTAGAAGGTGCACATTACAGACAAATTTCTTCATATGTGGTGGGCTTGCTGCAATAGTAGGTATTTGAAAGAAATGGTGCTGAATAAGAGATACAACAACTGTGAAATTTAGCATGAATTGCAGCAAAATTTGCCATCTCCAAATGGTGACTGCTCTTTTGAAACCTCAAGTGACTGGGAGAGGAGCGGCTGGAGAGCAGCCCTGCAGGGATCTGGGGGCGTTGGTTGATGCTGAGTATGGCCCTGGCAGCCAAGAGGGCAAACCACACACTGGGGTGCATCAAACACAGTATAACCAGCTTGTCAAAAGAGGTGATTATTCCACTGCATTCTGCATTGATGCGGCCTCACCTGGAGTACTGTGTGCAGGTCTGCACCCCACAACTTAAGAAGGATGTGAAGGTCCTTGCATGCATCCAGAGGAGCACAACAAAGCTGGTGAGGGGGCTGGAAGGCATGTCCTGTGGGGAGTGGTTAAGGACTTTGGGCTTGTCTAGTTTGGAGAAAAGGGGGCTGAGGGGTGACCTCATTGCTCTCTACAGCTTCCTGAGGAGGGGAAGCAGAGAGGGAGGTACGATCTCTTCTCCCTGGGATCCATTGACAGGACACATGGGAATGGCTCAAAGCTGCACCAGGGGACATTCAGACTTGACATTAGGAAGCATTTCTTTACCAAGAGGGTGTTTGCGCCCTGGAACGGGCCTCCTAGAGAGGTGGTTGATGCTCCGAGCCTGTCAGTGTTTAAGAGGCATTTGGACGAGGCCCTTAACAACATGCATTAACTTTTGGTCAGCCCTGAATTGGTCAGGCAGTTGAACCAGATGGTCATTGTAGCTCCTTCCAACTATTCTATTCTGTTCTGTTCTGTTCTGTTCTGTTCTGCTCTGCTCTGCTCTGCTCTGCTCTGCTCTGCTCGTTCTGCTTGTTGTCAGTTTTCCAGTTTTTTAGCTTGCTCTGGAAGCTGTAGTCAGTGGGGCAATTTAATATATAATACCTCCTACAGTGACAAATGTGAGTTTATACATGAGATTATTTAACTCCAATCTAAAATATCCCCAATAGCACACCGTGTGAAGATACAGTTGTCTCAATTCCAGGTGTTGTGAAGGTGCAGTTGGGAAGTACAGTTTACTGTGGGAGACATTGCTATGCTTAGTGAAATCTCCTTTGTTTCTTGAAGTTCTAAAAATGTTGTTTTGTAAATACATCAAATTACATCCACAGAAACACATGCAGAGTACAAACACAGAGACTACAGTGCTGTAATAGTGTTCTTTTAATCATTATCACTAATAATAATATAAAGTACTCCTCATACAGAGAAATGGTATTTCTGTTGTTAGAGATAAAAACATCTTCACACTGGATCTGCTTTTATTTCTTAATCTCCCTTTTCATAAAAGAAAAAAAAAAAAAAACAAACCACCACAAAACCACAGCTGAGCAATATTTAATTATCAATATCCATAGGGTTTGAATGGATTACTTTTTCTTCTGTGATACACATGGAAGACAAAAACCAACAAAGATTGTTATTAATAGTTGGGGTGTGTGTGTGTGTGTGTGTATTAACACAGCTGGTACATCTCTCTAAGACTTTCTAGTCTACTCAGTAACATTTTGTTTCTCATCCTTCATCAATTGATGTCTGCAACCTGTTGGTTTAATATTTATTTCTATAACAAATAGATGTAGTTTATAAGATTTTTAACATTTTCTTAACCCTTAAAGGAAAGTTGTTGACATCACTTACAGTGATGCATTTATATAGTTAACATTTCAGAATAATTAAATACAGTGGTTAAACTTTGGTATTAGATGGGATGAATATTCTCTAATAATTAAGAAGGCTATTTTCCTTCAGTGTTGTTTATATTCTGGTTCAGTCATAACATTCTACTACTGATTATTCTCTCAAGTTTCATATATATGTGCTTAACGCAGCGTTCTCTCAGCTTTAAGAACTGGTAACACTTGATTGGTTTCCTCTCTGATTCAAACTTATTTTACTTTCTTGATAGTCTAAGATTCTTTCAGGTATTTATATGTGCTGTGGTACATGTGTGCTTGAAAGAATAATAATGATATAAATAATTACATCACTAGGTCTAGATGTTTTATGTTGCTATATTTTTGCAGTTTTTCAGAACTTAATTCTGATTGATTCATTAAATCATTCAACTCTTAAGAATAATTTGTTACATACACCTCTTAAGGCTGGAGTGTTTATTTTACATTTACTGTTTTTCTGTCTTCCCTAATTTGAGACTTTTGCCACATCCCTGGACATCTCCAGTCATTCTGCTTTTACAGCAGGTGCTGACTATTTATGTTACAGGCTTTTTCTTGCTTTATAACAGAGCTTTCATGCCTACTATCTCCTCACAATTTTGTGATTAACCTCTGCAGCAGGACAGGCCATTTGTAATCACTTTTCTCCCAGCTCATCTGATTTCTCCTATTGGAATATTCAGCATCTCTCTCTTTGCTTGCTAAACCTTTAAGTATCTCATTTACTTTCTGCATTCTTTTAATCAGAGTACACCATCTTAATTGCATCAGGTACACCCTGGATGTGATATTTTAAGTTTTGCATTATATTGATGAATGTATTAACATCCAGCAGGATACCAGGGCTCTTTGTTTCCTAATCAGCTTTACACTTACAAATTTACTTGAGTTCTTTTTGTCTTTGCTATCCCCTTCTGCTACTTTCAAGGGACTGGGGAGTCACACTAGCAAAGTTATCAGTTAATATGAATACTAACTCACACTGTTCACAGTCTTGCACATCCAGGTTCTTTATGTGAGGGTTTTGGTTTTACTGTTCCTTTATATTTTAGAGTCTCTTGATCCAGATGGGAGAGGGTTTTATTCCCAGTAGGCATGCACAAACACACATATGTAAACAGAGACCACTGATGATAGATCAACACAGACAGAAGAACACAATCCTGCAAACAAGATGCCAGATGCCATGTAGCACCTGCACATTATTCACTGGGCACTTCGACACAACCATCAGCCTTAACCTGCCATTCAACAATCCCAGCTGGCTGGTTAAAAATGCTGTGGTACTCTGCATCCACCTGTACTGAGGACATGCTGCATTACTAAATAGCTGTGTTAACAGTTGTTACGGCCGCAGACCATGCAGGAATGGTCAGGCTCTCCTTTTCTCCTTTAGACACATTCCGCTTTTCTGCCCCCAAAATGGCAACTCACAGCGACACTGGGCTCCCCCACAAACACAACCAATCACTCTTAGTACACATGGGAGGAGGAATGCTTATCATCATGTGTACACCACTTTGGCCTCTTCAAGTAAAAAGGCAGTATGCTGCTCAGGGCCCAAATTCTGGTTGGCCACATGGACCATCTCTCCTTTGCTTACTTAAGGCATCTTACTATGTGCTAGCTCAAGCCTCAAAAATAGAAGCTCCCAAAGGAGTCCCCAATTACCTCATGGGTAACTCTTCTCTTTTTAGATTGCAGGCACGAGATGTAACCGATTTAAGAGACAAGTGTTTGTTGGTTCAGCAACACACTACTAAAAACCAAATAATTCAGTGATCAATAATTAATAAACACATAATTATTAAATTACAGTTATATAATTTTGTACTTGATTACACACAATGACAAAGCTACAAGGCCTAGTGTTCCAGGGTAGATGAATTACAGTCTACAATTGTGAAATCAGGGAGACAATATCGCTTGTTAAATAATGAAATCATTACCAATTTAAAATAATAAAGGAAAAATGTTATTTTACAGTCTGGGTACTAATCTAGTTTTATAGACACCTAAAGACCACACTGTACATCATAACCTATTCTGGTGAAGTAGTGAATTTAGAGCTGAGTGTTTCTGTAGCAGTGCGCTAGTCTGTAGTAACATTTCCAAATGAAACAGCAAATAGAAGTCTAATGAATAAGGTGCCTGGAAGGAGCTTCTTACTGAAAAAGACTCTTTTAGGTCTTGTGGCAGGACATTTGAGAAGTTTGAGGAATTACTTCCAATTCCACTAATCATCTCTTTTTATATAAGAATGTAAGTCATTAAAATTGCTAGCAACTCAGTCCATGGCCGATGATGATCTTCGTCCCCTCATTACTCTGTGTTAATTACTTTTCACCCTTGGCATTCTTGAAGGGATAAAGTCACCTTTATTTTGTGTGCATGGGACTGCAGCAGAGAGCAAGCTCTAGTGTTAGGTCACACAGAAAATCTATATTGAAGCCATGAATTGCACCGATGTTCCCAACTTCTAGATCCATTCTTTACTCATGAGATCATGCTTGCTTCAGCAATAGTAATCTGTGCTGTATGGCTTCCTCCCATCAAATTGTATACATTTGTATTTAAAACTCTATAGTAGATGTGCCAGTTCATTTAAGTGCCTGTTTCCGCCCATACGGATCTAATTTGCATTAGGAAGATAAATGGAAAATTCAAATACCCATGAAGGCTGATACTAGTTGAGATGCACTACATATTGCATTTCTTTTCCCTCCACACTAAATCCTTTTTCTGTAGTTGTATCTTCAGGCTTTTAAACTTAAAACTTAATATAGAGAGTTGATTGGTTTCCAGGTAGTGGTCTGAGGCTCAAACCTCTGCAGGTGTGTACCTAAGAGGTGTTAATGGGGTAATGGATGCACAAAAATCAGGACACAACTCAACAGTTAAAGAAAGACTCCAATGGAATACAGTGGGCTTCAGATCAAACCCTGTGGGGCATTAGGAGATAATACACATTGCAACAAATCTGAAAACCCCTCTGCTTCCCTAATTTTCCTATTTACAGATGTACCAAATGAGTTTCCTTTTCTTGATATAGTTGTGTTCTGCCAAATGGCAACTTTTAGTAAAAAAACCCAGAACTATTAACAATTTCTGAACTGTTATTGAGAATAATTAACATTAAAGAGAATAGTAGCTTATTCTTAGCAGAAAACATGTGTACCTGGGCAATATTTAACTTTAAAACATTTCTAGAGGTTATCCATAAAGGTATTTGTTTAAAAAACATCTACCAAGATGGTTTTGGAAGTCAGTGAAACAGGTAATAATATTGCATATGGAGGTCAGAAGTTCACTAGTCTGGGTATGACTAGCTATGTACATTCAAATTATTACAAAACCTATGAAATTTCTTGTTTCTCATTCTGCTGTTATTTTGGAGAGTACCTTCATTTACTTACACTCCAAAGGAGGTGTTTCCTTCCCTTTGCCAGTATGAGCTGGTACCTAGCTGTTCAGAAACAAGGTGACTGCCTTGTGAAGAGTGGCAAAAAAAGGAATTTGGAGACCTAGTCATGCTGACTTGTCCAACTTTCACAGGGAAACCTAACAGGAAGGTGACATTAATCTTGAGGCCAGAGATTGAATGGGAAAGTAGAATGGCTGGCTTCTATTGCTACCTAAGGCTGAGACATAAAATCATTTGTCAAATCATGAGAGGCAATGCTATGGGCAGTTTTGAAATTTTCAGTATTAAATAAGCACTGTGGTTTATGCTTTCAGAATATGAAATTGAGAGATCATTCTTCTTGAGAATGAAGTGTGTCCTAGCCAAGAGGAATGCAGGATTGACATGCAGTGGCTACAAGGTAACGTACATAAACTTTCCCCTCGCTCCAAGTGTTCAACAAGTGACAAGTTTAGTTCTATAGGTATTTTACATATGTATAGCTGAAAATAAAGTCTGTGGTGGAAAGAATCTGAACAGATGCAAAAAAAAAAAAAAAAAAAAAAAAAAAAAAAAAAAAAAAAAAAGTCACTACCGATTGCAAATTACCTTAATAATGCAAGTCTAAACTCTCTCACAGTGAGTTGGAGTTTGCTTTGTGGCATAGTCCCACATCCTGATCTTCCAGATCAGGGCACTGGTTGGAGCACACCCATGGAGGTGCAAGGAAAGTGCACAGCCAGGTCTTACTTCCCTGTGGAAATGGAAACAGGTGAGTCGGGGACCCAGACACAGGAACTTGGAAATCTTCCTGCATTCCTCTGCTGCAGTGTTACTGTGCTCCAGCTGAGCAGACACCCAGTTGCACAATTCACCTTACTGGCCTGACTAGAATTACCTCAACATTAATGAGACCATAATGTTACCCTAAACAAACACTAATATCAGCTCAGGTTTGAATTGTACTAAACCACCAAGTTTGTTTATAAATCTTATCACTTGTATTAATTTTCTATTTATTACATGAAATCAGAAGCCACAGCAAATGCTGAGATTCTATAATAACACCTGCCATTCAGGCAGTTCCTATTTTCAGCTTTACAGTTTGCATTTGCTGCTCTTTGAGCCACACAGTATAATTCTATCACTTAAGCATCAAGAAGGGTACTTCACATACAGTCTAGTGAGGATGCATTTTGTTTGAGTCATTCAAAACCAAAAAGAAAAGCATACAAGAGAAGCAGAGCTCTTTTAAGGAATGTGTTCAAGGTCCAGATAGCTATCTGTCTATTTACACTGCGATCTACCTGGTTAGACTGATAATTCTTCATTACATGGACCCCTGTTTGCTCAGCTGCTTCCCAGCAAAAAATGATTCTGTCCCAAAGCTGAATCTGAAATCAGGTAAAAGAGTAGAGCTTGGAGTGGTGGTATCTCTGTATGGATTTTATTTTCACCATTTATGACTCCTAATCAGAGGGATCACTTTCTTCTTTTGCTCGCTATTAAAAGTTTATGCAGTGAAACATTTAAGAATGCATTCATCTAGATTGATGCTGGCCTAAATTCCCTTTCTTTGTACTTAGAGTCAGCACTTAATTTTGAAAATATCACTTGAGTAGCTGAAGCATAGAAAAAAACTCATGAATCAAACAGTACAGAAATTAGTAGGATCTGATGATAGATCTTAAATAAGTTTTGCTTAATTCTGTACTTTTGCTAAACATACTAACCACATGGTGATTGAAGAGGGGGGAGGAAGGTTATACAGGAGGAGCCTATTTATAGGTGACTGTTTAGTACTTTGTCCAGGAGTACTAAATACAGTGGAAATTATTTTCTTTCCATTGGACTCAGTTAAAAGTCAAACAGAACCAGAAATTAAGCTGAAGACTGTATAGTATGCCTGCTGTTTGGACTAGAAATTTGGTTAGGAGCACAAATTATTTCTAAACACCATCACTATATTAAATAAATCTTATGTCATGGAAAAGTCCCTAGGTTACAATTTCTCCCCCTCTTTAGCTGACATTGTGAACTTTTACAGTCTAACACTGAAGTTACCACTCCCGTCATTAGGGATTGTATCTGGAGATTTAAGAATCTGGTCTCAAGGCCCTGGGCTTGGTCACATGTCAAATGAATGTCATCTGAACTTGATTGGAGAACTTAAAACTCATTTCTAGTGAATTTACATATACAGCAGTTAATCTTTATAAATATAATGCATTAATTTAAATTGTCTTTCATCAGAATAATACCACATTAAAATGCAAATGTTTATATATACCTCTGTGTGTATGTGAGACAGTCATTTAAAAAAGCATCTTCCAGATTTTTTGAATAATGAATAGGAATTCTGTCTGTGTCTAAAAGATATCTATATTAAAGAGAGTTTAAAGTATTAACTAGAAAGCACTTTAGATAGTCCCAAAGAGCATGTGCTTTAATACTGAATTAATTGTGTTGGCAGTAAACACAAAAACTGCATTTACTGCATTTTAATCTCTATTTATAAATTAACTGCACTTCTGAACCCTTAACAGACTATGCAATCTTTAAGTATTATAAGGGTGTATTGCTTTATAACCTCACTGAAACTGGATGGTCAGCTGACTTGCAGCCTCTTCTGTTGCCATCAGATATTGAATGTGTTTTCTTTTCATGCCAGGTGATCCATTGCAGTGGCTACTTGAAGATACGGCAGTATATGCTAGATATGTCTTTGTATGATTCCTGTTACCAAATCGTTGGACTGGTGGCTGTAGGTCAATCTTTACCTCCCAGTGCAATCACTGAGATCAAACTTCACAGTAACATGTTTATGTTCAGAGCAAGTTTGGACTTAAAATTAATATTCTTAGATTCCAGGTAAGCAGCTATTTCACTTCTAGCATAAAATGTTTTCAAAGTCAAGTGGTATCATAAGCTACAGTGGTTTCCAAACAGATCAATATATCCATGAAAAAACAAACATTCCAAAATAGATCTAGAACACAAAGAGCATGTGAGTCTTCAAAGCCCTTCAGGTAGCTGGGTAGATCATACTTTGTCTTGAATGCCAACATATAAGAGCTTGCACAATTTAACCTATAGTTACCTACAGCTTCAGAGAGTCAGCTAAAGCCTTCTTGTTGTGAGTAATAGGCAGATGAGTAGTAATACATTTTTACCTTAAAGGACATAAATTTTAACATACAAAGCTAGTGAAAGGAATAAGGATGTACCACCATCCACAATTTAAAAAAACCCACAAGTGAAACACTGAGGTCAAATGACTTGCTGGGATCATCCAGAAATCTTTTTACAGAGTAGTAAGAAAACAGTCACGTCCCACTCACATGAGGGAGACAAGTGTCTCAGATTCGCAAAGCCCCAATGGAGCAAACAATAAATCTCCAAGTCCATTTATTAACTACCCACCATGTACTAATGGAACACACAATAATTGGCTAAGTATGTATCAAGTTGTGGCAAGCAACTTGCTTTCTCAGGCCATTTTTCTTAGTTTCTCGCAGGCCTGGTTTCTTGTCTCTCACACAAAGTCTTCTGCATTTTAGTATAATGCGTTAACAGTGAAACCAACCCTACTAACGGGGTAGTTAGAATGAAAACTAATTCAACAGGCTACTACATGAAAACACAGCTTTCTTAAACAAGACTTGGGAAAATGGCTGTTGCTGGGGAAAGAGAATCCTGCCTCCACTCTCAGACAATACAGCTCACATACCAGCCAAGAGGAGCATAAACCCAGAACCAAAGTAGTTGTGAAATGATTTAATTCCTCTCTTTTTGAAACATGGTATTTTTTAGTATACAATGATACTTTGTACAGCGCAGTTCAAGATACCTTGAGGGGGAAAAGCCCAATTCCCAGACTGTATAACAGATTTGCCTATTGACAAGATGATCATTCCTCAAAATTTCCTGCATGTGGAGCAGTCTGTCATATACTCTCTCGTTTCCCTGGCATGCTGGATTTGCAAGAAGCAGAAATTATATTCATGTGTAACAGCAAAAAAGAGTTTGTATCCAAGACAGCGGGAAAGTTTTGCATGGCAGGTCAACCATGCAAGAACATGCTCTTTCTCCATGCTAAGTCAGTGAGATAGTGGGCCATCAGCTGCTAAAATACAAAGACCTAGCTGTTTGCTGTTTCTGGATTTTTTTTTTTTTTTTTTTTTTTTTTTTTTTTTTTTGGCATGCTTTACTTAATGTAACAGCTACAAAGAAGCACAAGGGGTTCAGCAACATGTCTTTGCATGTGGAAAAAAAGGAAATGATGTGCCTAAGAGGAACTGCCAGGAGACATAAATGTCTTCAGCGGAGACAATATAACCAGAGGTGTTGACAGGAGCACAGATAGAACCAGTACTTGCATAGCTGTGTTTACCAAAGAGCAGATGGGTGTCATCCACACACAGGACAATCAGCAGTATTAAGCATTACCAAAACCCTCTGCTCTCCCAGCTGAGCAAACCAAGTAACATTTGCTCAGAGCAGTGACATATTAGGGATAAGGCAAAACTGTTTTCAGGGTGCTTCTGTTACAAGAAAAAGAGTTGCTAGATCTTCAGAGGTAACAGTCACAGCAGACAGGCAAGTATTAAAGCCATAGGAAGGAGCAGTTAAATAAGCCTTTCTGGACACGATACGATGTAAAACATGAGAGTTTGTTTATCAAGATCACTGGAAAAAGGAGACAGTTACTTCCCTCCAAAGTAATCTGCTGCTTCTGGTTTTCATGCTGCATCCTACTTATTCATTGCTACAAGGTTTCCAAAGACTTTAGAGAACTCTAGAGGGCAGAATTGATCATTGGGGCAAACTCTTCCCTTCTGTGTGTCCTGTCACACTCAAAGAACAATCTTTTGAGCCCGGGCTCCCTACAGTGGCTTATTGAGGGGTTGGTTTGTGTTAAGTCAAGCAGCTCAGTTTATTTCCAGAATCAAACTTTTCAAAAGTTTGGGTGTCCTCGTAACTGTTAATGATGTTTTTTTCGGCCCATGGGAAGACAAGCTTCAAAGTGAGGCTGCACCTCTAGAAAAATTAACACCTGGCTTAGGTTTGCAGCATTTTGTCTGGTTTTGGATTAGATGTTTCTGTACTTGCCAAGTGAGCAGGATGAAATTGCCACCCTTGTTTTAATTGCACTGAAGTCAGAAGGAGCACTGAAACCTGAACAGGACCTTTCACCAGTATTTCACCATGCTGATAGGCCTAAGGGAGAATTTGAGCCCCTAGAATTGTAAGCCAGGAGGGATAGTGCACACTGCAGAGGAGAAACATAAGCATATATTCACATATTCTCCTGCAGAAAGACAGCATGTGTGCTCACTCCACATTGGCAGTCCCTGACTGAGGCAAAGGTGTGCCAGAGTTTCCCAGACGAAGCATAGCTAGGGGAGGAATGCATGTATTTGTCCTGTATTTATAATAAATCAGACTGTGAAACCTCTTTTTTTTTTTTTTTTTTCCCTCTGATTTTCTTCAGAAGAATCCCACCCTCCAAAGCGCTCTCTCAAGTAGAATATAAAGTCCCCAGTCTCTGTGGGGTCCTTGTGATTGCTCAACGTTAGGGTAAGAGTAAAGAAGATGCATAATAGTTACAAAATAAAAAAGATAAATCAAAGTTTACATTATATGCAACCACCAATGAAACATGTTGCTGGATACCCCAGTATTCTACATATCTACATTCTGTGGATACTACTGTGTTATTCTCTAATACAGTGCATCCTCTTTAGTGTTTAAGTTCAGACCAGAAGCATCCTATTGAAGGGTCCTGACTGTCCCCACTCTGCACTGCAGTTCATGTCATGAAGAGGCCTTAAGCATGATTCTTTCTGGATGAATCTAAACTGGAAGACAAACTCCAAGAGCACGTCTAAGGCATTCCAACTATTACAAAGCTTTCAGTCCACAGGCCTCAACTAGAGTTAGTCCCAAGTAAACGTCCTGAAATTAAAATATGCAGATGCATCTCCCGCTGCAGAAGTAGATCCTCAGCAGTAACAATTTCACTCTACGGGTTGCCTGCCAATGGACTGTTTTGCTTGTTAATGTAGACATGCCTTTGTATGGTACCTCTGTTCTGCCTTTTTAGGTGAAGAAAGTCCAGGACAGCATAAAACACCCCCAGCAACACTAGGTAAACAAGCCATATTATGGCTGAATTGCACAATATACTTTAAGGAATTTTGTTCTCAAGGAACAGTGCTAAATAAACAAAAGTCCATTTTGAACCATGAAGTGTGACTCCTCAGGTCTGACCCAGTGTAAGTCTGACCAGTGTAGACTGGTTCTTTAACATTTGCAGAGATACTGCTCTTTCAAATTTGTTCCATTATTCTGCTTCTCATCATGTGAGGACGTTTTTCTGAAGTCTAGCTTCAGTCTTCCTTTTCTTAGCTTGTGACCTTCCTAGCTCCTTGTCTTTCCACATTCTCAGCTGGAATAAGCTCCTGCTTACTTCTTCTGTCAGGCGTTAGCCTGAATTTAATTATAGACCATGATCACAGCTTCCATAGACTGACATACATGCTACACTTGTATGTTTGCAAAAGCAAATGAAAAAGTGTCAGCAATCCACAAGAGTAGTTTTATTGTTTCATGAATGGCTCCTCAACTGAATCTTTGTGCAAAGGATCGTGCATGGCAGTGGCAAAAGCCCAAAGTGGAAATAAGTAAAAGAACCCTTTTTCCTGCCTGTGTGTGAAGCTGGCCAGGGAATAGCTGCACCTTGCTTTGGCTGGGTTGAGAGGGTTTATTTTCTTATAAAGATGAGGATTCTGTTTCCAAAACTAACATTTTGTCCTGTAGTTTTTAGCACCTGATTTATTGGCACAATCAAATGTTAGTTTAATGAAACTGAATATTCCTAGAGATTTTGCTTATTATGGAATCTTCATTTTCCAGGGTGACTGAATTAACTGGATATGAGCCCCAAGATCTGATAGAAAAAACCCTCTACCACCATGTTCATGGCTGTGATGTGTTCCATTTACGATATGCTCATCATCTGTGTAAGTAAAAAGAATGCTAGACTGAAATTTATTAAGTAGAGTGAGAAGTTTTGCAGACAACAGGCACTGTGCTGGAAAGTAGAGAAAGCTTTCCAAATCTTTACTGGAGCTAGATTTTCAAAAGTGCTCGGCTATAAAAAAAAAAAAAAAAAAAAAAAAAAAAATCTGGCCACTTTTATCATTCTATTTAAAGGATCCAGGCTCTTTCAAAAATTTGGACTTGAATCTGGGTGGTGAACTCATGAAGGAAACAACCAAAAGAGTGAGTGATGAGAGGGGAAAACCTGAACTTTACTAGCCTCTGTTGTTAAAAGAAAAATTATGCAACAGCTCCCCATTCCTCTGAAATATGTTAGTAATAATCATCCCATGTTTGAAGTGAATGCAAACCAAAAAAATCCTTAGATGGATGTTCATTAATAGCATGTGGATGAGGTTTGGAGAATGGAGTGTCAGGAAAAAAAAATTACACATTTAATAATTCCCCATCTGCCAACAGAGACACTAATCATATCTTCAAACATCTGGATTTGGGAAGTAGTTCATTCAGTAGCACATTAATTTGAGAAGCAAATTGCGGGAATAGCTGAACTCTGGATTTGGCTCAGTCTGCCGCAGCCCATACGATGCAAAGATGACATCCAAAAACCAATGTCGGTGGATTTTTTTTCCAGATTGCCCTTGTGGGCTGAAAGCAGCCGGAGTCAAATCCTTCTCTTAGGCTTCCTGAAGGAGAAAATAGTCAGTTCTTCACCTTAATGTGTGCTGTTCATAAGGCCCTGGAATATAAAGGAGGATGCACTTGTACTTGGCAAGTCAGTGTTGAAATTCCAAGTGCCGAATTCTGTTGATGGCAGTGTGTGCTACACCTGGGAAAGCAGAAACTGATCTTTACAGCAAGTTCATATTTACCAAACTCTGGGTCATTGTAAACTAAAATCTAGAATGACCAGGGTAGATGGTAATGTTCTGTTGGGGTCATCCTCTTTGTAGTGTTAACATCTGGTTGTGACTGTTGACTTGTACAAAATATCACTCATTATTTTCACAAGACTATTTGAAATATCTGTGTCAGCCAGTATAGAGATGATTCCATTATACCCACAATCAGCTCTGGAAAACAGTTTTGCATTTTAGAGCAGAATGATGGATAATTCTGTATGCAAGGTAGAAGACTTGTACTTTGGCTGCTAGTTTAAATTCAGTGTATGACTGGAGTTTAAAATAGAGACACATCACGTTTATTGAATTAACACCCCCCCACACACACCTCCTCCCACAAGGAAAAAAAACCCTCAACCAAACAGAATAACTAAAAGCTGTTCTCTAGATACTGTGTCTGAACTACAAAGATAAACTATTATAAAGTTTAAAAACAGAAAAAAAAAAGCAAGACATATGCACAGAAATTTGTAAAAGTCTCAAAGCAAATAAATGCCAAGAAGCAAAAAACATCAGCTAATGCTTGGTCAATGGTGGGAATGGTGCAGAATCACGGTCAGAATACCAAGTAACAGGAATTATTAAAACAGATGTAAAGTGTACAAACTTCCTCTGCGGAGCACTGTTATAACTCCCCCACCATCCATCAGTAAACGTCTTAGGAACATGAACAGTAAAAGGTTGGCAAGTTTGACACAGCATTCTATAATGCAATTGATGATTAAGTGTCATCTGATGAAGAAATGTGGAGAGAAATGTCTTACACCTAATAAGGGTATTAAGAAAAAAGAAAAAGGAAAAAAAAAAAAAACAAAAAAACCAATCCTAAACTAGGGTAACAAATTGCTTTTTCAAAGAGGAAAAAAAATAGTTCCCAAATTGAAGACCTAAAGCAACTGAACTTTACGTTAGGCAGCACAGAGAACAAAACAAAGGAAACAGTGAGGGGAACAAGTTAGAAGGGTCATAACAAGAACATCAGACTATGAGGAAAATGTAGATGTGAATATTTGCCTAAGGTGTGCTGGCAGCAAACAGTGTTTCCTGTTTTAAACATTTGATTAGCTTCCAGCTATATGAAAAAGCTTTGGCTTTTGAACTAGTGTTATTTATTTCTGTAGCACCATCAATATACACAGTGTTTGCTCTGCAACTGGGGAAATATGGCCACACAAATAATGAGTCCCTGCTTAAGGATTTTGCATTCTAAAAGATGGGATAGAGAAGCTGTTCCAGTATAGACAAAATATTTTTCTGGCCTCAGAGAAGCCACTGCATTTGTACCATAGTTTCTCTGCAAGGAGGATTTTGTGCAACCCACATGTTCTAATATCAGTGCTCTTCTCACATAAACTTTTACAAGGGCCACATCTCTGTGCCATGGCAAGGCAAGCCCCAGCCCCAACTGATGTCATCACCAAACTCTTCTGCCACTTCCTGGAAGTCAACCTATGTATTTATAGAACCTATCTTATAGCAGAGCACAGTTTACACTGTCCATGGCACTGAGTCTACTTTTGCTCACCCAGCAACCAAACCTTCCAGCAGAGCTGCACTATTTTTTTTAAGAGGGCAAAAGAACTGTAGACTCTGCTAGGGCACCATTCACTGACCACACCGCTCGAGGGCTGGACCGATGACATGCCAGGTTGGGTGCACCATGGAAGCTAAACCAGTAACTGCTGCAGCTGAGGAACCAAGAAGTCCATTTCTCTTGGTATCCTTAAGTGCAGGCTAGGAACTCCCAGCCACATGCTGTGAGCCTGCTGGAGCCTTTCAAAATAGCCATCTGTGACAGACCAGAAGGACCAGCCCAGCCAGCCCAGTGCCTTTTTCAGCTTGCCTGCTAAACCAGGAGGGAACCACAACAGCGGAACACCCAGTTACAAATGGCACATCTAAGAGCCAAGGCTAAAGCCACTGAATCCTCCCCGTTTGATTGCAGCAGAGGCCACCAAGAAGTTTGAGCCTGCACAGATTGTCTTGGTAATGGATATACCTCACTCCCATTTCTGAGGTTTCCCAATCAGCATCAAACAGGGTAATTTAACACAGAACTAAATGGAAACTGACCTCATTTACTGTATCGGAAGTGCAGCAACTGTCCCCTAGCCAAGGTCAGACTTCCCCCAGATTGCTAAAAATGCAGGAGACATGGAGTCCTCCACCATCCCAGGAGAAATACTGGTTTATCCATATAATTAGGAAGGAAAGTTGAACACTATAGTCCTCAGTGGTTTTCACATCTTTTAATATACTGACCTAACTGGAGAGCTAAAACAGGGATTTCAAAAAAATCAGTGAAAGTCACAACTAGTCCAAAAGCACCCGGAAGAACTTTGTTATAGCTAGAGATCCATTACAGCATTAATTTATTTTTTGGAAGACTAAGTAGTAAGGCATTCTGGGTTCAAGGAAAACCTGACCATTAAACTAGCATGAAGATTTAGCTCTGAAAAGCCTAGACCACATTACAGAAAATATCTGTTAGATGATCTAGGCCAAAATGTAAGCATCATTTCCTAGAACTGGGCCATTTGGATTATAGAACACCACAAAACACAGTGATTCCATGGCATATAGCTGATTGTTAACAAATATTTTTAGAACAGATTTATTTGGCATTGTTATACTGAATCTTTGAGTAACAGCTACAAGACTTTTACCTTAGAGCAATATATTGCCCTTAAAGAGTACACGTGCCTTTATATTTTGTAGGTGTGTTTACACACTTACACACATATTTATGATTTTCTTAAATATCTGTATACATGCACACCTCCACCCCATAGACTATTCCATGTAGAAATGTAGGTGTGATAAAGGACACCAGTAAGCATGAGGCAAAAACCTGCTATCTAAGAGAGACTTCAAACCTAAATAGCAGTGACTTGGTGTCAGTGAGGATGGGCTTTTGAATGTCCTACAAGATCTTGTTATTTATCTTGTTGCTTTCTGAACAAATGGATACCATATCCTGCAATGGAAAGAGAACTGACACTTCCAGAAAGAATGTCTATAGCCATTTTGTAAGAGCCTGATTTTCTTAGGGAGATTAAGTGGGTTTGAAGAAAAGTTGAAATATGCTGTGACGTGGGCAGATGGATAGGCGGGTAAGAAGTCCAGAGAGATGACCTATAAGCTACAAGGCTTAAAGGACCTTTTAGCAAGAACAAAACCTTGCTCTTCTGTCAGTCTTACACTGGGCTATTCACAGTATTCACATTATTGCAGTCTATGATTACTATTGAAATTATAAACGCCTACTTCCTCAAGTAACAACTGAAGGAAAAAAAAAGCCAACCCCAGTGATGACTGATAGCCATATAGTTAATTACCAAACAGTAAACAATCCCCCAAAGATTATGTGCTCTTTAGTTCCCAATTTAATATTGGTTGCCCTCCCTGTCAGAAAAATCTGCTATGAACACTAATTATAAGGCCATATATTTTCCTCTCAGGAGGTCATTTGCTTTATTAGAGTTGGATGAAAGAGAAAATTGTTGTTTGATTTCATGATTATGTATCTGCTTCTCCACCAAGCATGTACAATGAGAGAACAAAATTACAGTGAGCTTTGCTACCAAGTTCAGTCTAGTACTAGCCCTATATTTGCAAGCAGTAATTCAATTTCTCAATCATGTATTATATGAAGGAATTGCTGCTATTGGTTACTCTTTTTTTGGACACAGTTTGTGTAGCAAACTCAGTTCCTTATTTCCTAATTAAAACAAACAAACAAACAAACAAAACAAAACCAACTGATTGAACAGAAGAGTAAGAAGATGGAGTTTCCTAGGGGAATATTCCAGGATTACACAAGAGAAGAACCACCTTTGAAGGCTGGCCATTATCTTCTAGTGAATCATTAGATAAATGCCTGGCACTGAACCAGAAATATTTGTGGCTAGATTAAATATTTAGAGATTCTGCACAACTCCCATTATAGCATAGCCTTATGCCAAAACATCTTTGCTCACAGAGAATCCAAACTGATGTACAGAGGATTACATTTCCAGTGAAATCTATGAGATAATGGATTCACCTCTCTGTTCCTATTTGTGTGCTTAAGAACCAAACAGCATTTTAATTTTACCTTTTTAAATCAACCTTCAAAATGTAGAGCTTACAGAGGAAAAAGCATCATAGCATAAAATACATTGAGAAATAAACAATAATCTAACAAGATATGAATGACTAAAGTGCTTCCAAATATACTGGAAAAGTTCAAGCTAGTTGTGTCCTCTTCAAAGTATTTTTGATGTCTCAAACTTTTTCAGTTAGAAGATTAGAAACAGTAAGGTTTTTTTTTCAGAATGTAAGCATAAGAGAGCAGGGTGAACTGGAAAAGAAGGAAGACAAACCTTAATAATTTGCAACATACTATTTGTAAACAGTAACGTGACCTTGTGAAATGATGTAAAGGGGCAGGACAGATACCTTTGCAGGTGAGCTATTTAAAGTTTGGTGGGAGGAGGAGGAGGAGGTCTAAGGGAGGGGAAGAAGGGTGAAAAGTCCCTTCCTTGCAAACAAATCTCTCCAGGAAGTGGTCACAAGTCCAGGTGATGTGAAATGCTTTTTAAAATTGTATTTACAGTGTTGGTGAAAGGCCAAGTCACAACCAAGTACTATCGATTACTGTCCAAGCATGGAGGCTGGGTTTGGGTACAGAGCTACGCTACTATTGTGCATAACAGCCGTTCATCACGGCCTCACTGCATAGTGAGTGTCAATTATGTCCTTACGTAAGTCAAAATACTTTGTACCATTACGTGTTATCAGCAATAGATTCATTTTGTGTGTTATCAGTAGTTGATTCCTTACTAATTAAATCCTTTAAGTTTGCTTTAGCTATGTCTTTCAGTATTGTTCTGTGCTTGCATGTTGCAGCCACTTTTCTTATATCCTCCCTCTTTCAGTCACATTGAACTAAAAAGACCTGCTATTCCTGATGATTACCTTGTACACCATGTGTTTGAATGTAATACCACTGGCAGGCATTTGTGTTAGTCCTGGACCCCAGTCGCGTAATTGGCATCAGAACTGTGCTGGGGCTGCCCAGACACAGTGAAAGCTACTGCTACCCAGCAGAGGTCACAGTGTCAGTTTGGGAGACAGGGACATGGTAGGAAGCAGGACTCTTCAGGGACAGGTGAATCACTGAGGATTCTCTCACTTGTCTTGGGCTGCATGGATACTGAGGGAAAAACTACACTCTCACAATGGCAAGTAGCTCCCCCTGAACTAGTGAACATACAGTGGTTTTGACCTGCAGTTCATGAATTCTAGTTCAAAGTCATGAAGGTGTTGCAAAATTCCTGCCTTCATCTAAAGCTGAGAGAGACAGAAATTTATATTGAATGAGGGATAAGTGATAATGAAAAAGACCATGACTGAAAAGACTATCTGTGAGGGAAAAGAAAAAAAAGAGATAGTGAGCATCCCTTGTGTTAAGTAGTGTAAAAAAGCAGGGACTTATATGCTCTTTTCTTTTGTCGAAACTGGTCCATTTCCTATCTGGTTTGAAAGTAAAATGTGTTTGCATGATGTGTGTGGTAGGATTGTGTGTGTTTGCATATTACAATGTTGTGATACCTGCCTTCAGGGAGTTAAAGTGTATGAGTTGAGAAACCATAGGGTGTTTCTTTAAACTACTTGAAGTAGGTACTCAGCCCTAGACACACTGGCTAGCACTGCCCTCATCCCTGTATGGATGTGAGAGGCAGCAGCATGAGGTAAAGGCTGAGCCATGCAACCAGCTTGCAAACCATGAGCTGGGGCAAGTGATTTGAGTAAAAAGAAGGACACTGTGCCAGGGATATAGCAGCATATTCTTGAGTTGAATTTACTTCCAAGTTATTCACCATCAAAAAATGATGGAACTGAGTTCTAGATAGAAATTGAGAGGGAAAGGTTTTTTCTAGTTATCCTTTTCAAAATATGCTCCACTGTTGCTACTGCCAAAACGAGGTGAGACCATTTAATCACCAGAACTCTATCAATTATTCAAAATATGATGCACAGTCTGTTCTTGATTTGGTTTTTAGCCTCTTTTGTACAAAATCTGTCCTGTCTGTGGGGCAGATAAAGCTGAACAGAACAGAGCAGAAATGAGAGTCTAGAGACTGTCAGAAAAACACCATTGCAGCTTCTGTGGTGTAGTTACAAGCACATTGCGCTGACAGGAGGGGAACATCACTCCTTTCCTTTCCTCGGGAATAATTGTCAGAGCCAGGGCAGAGACCAAGTCCTGATTGAGGATGAGAGAGATGAATTGATCTGTCTCTGTCAGCTGACATGGCTGTGATTCCAAACTGCAGGGTGCCACAGATGGCTGAGAAGAAGTTGGCACAGTTTAGGTTCAGAGAGTGAGGACACTCTAGTTTGAAGATGTTAACATGGTTCCCAGTGGAATGTTTGTGATAGACTTGTGTGGGGACGGGGTCAGACCATGAGAATCACTGCTTGCTTCCATCCCAGACTTGCACTGCAGACTCAGTGAAAACCTTGGAAGAATGGAAATGAAAACATTGTGAAAGCTAGCATGTATTTTCAAAGGAGCTATTTTAGATTTGTGCAGTATGTTTGAGAATGTAATTTATTGGACTGTTCTTTTGCAGAGATATTGAGTATAAGGAACTTCAGTTGTCACTGGACCAGGTCACCATTTCTAAGTCACAATTTTCATGCAGAAACTCAGTATCTACCTCACAGGAAACAAGGAAAATTGTAAAACCCAAAAGTAATAAAATGAAGGCAAAACTCAGAACAACACCTTACCCACAGCAGGTAACACTTTCAGCAATATTTACTTACCAACTGTTGTTGTAGATTGTTTGGGAGAGGACAGAGATCATCCAGAACTGAACTTACTAGAAAAGTGGCCATAGTATGCTCTGTGCAGGAACTCCCTTGTAGGCTGGAGCATAATTAGACCTGTTTGTTCTGGGGGTGGACAGCATAAGTAGTTCAAACCAACTCCAGCGAGTGATGCAAACACAAAAACTTCTGGATACAGAGTATGCAAAGTACTATAAAAAACAATGTGCTTTCTTGGTAAAAAGAAGAAAAACATGTACTAAGAATAACTATGTTGTGAAAATTTGCACCGGTTTACAATTCATCTAACTCACTGTTGATATGCAGGGTTCTTAATGTCACATTGGTATTAGTGGTTTGCTATGCTGGAGAATGTGTCATAAGGATGAATCCTAGCAAACAGAGCATTGGAGTGGGATTTGGAATATATCTCACTGTCACTGGGTGGGCTGGAACCAGGTGTGAAAGGAAACTATGGAGATTGTCCATAAAATGGGGTTGGTGAGACTGACACCCACCATGAGACATTCTGAAACTTTGCAACAGATATTGTTGGAAGGGGCTACTATTGCCTTAAAACAGTAGTGAATGTAGCTAGCACATACACGGCATTTAAAACAGTGAGAGCCCAAAAAGCATTTGGAATCTGGGGAGGAAGGTAGGAGCAAGGGGGAAGAGAAAATCATTGTGATAGAAGCTGATGCAAAGGACAGATTTTGACTTCCTGCCATTCCTAAAGCTTGACATGCTAACATATGCTAAGTCATATTCATGGTCTGCTACTCCATTTATCAGAGACTTCCAGTGCTTTGCAACAAAATTCTGCCCTCTAGTATTTACAACTCTCTACACTTACTAGCTAAAATCCAACTGGCAAAATTATCAGATAAACCCATAACATTAGGATGACAAAGTAGTTCTTTGTTCCCATGTTAAGTGAAGTTATCATGAAGGCAGGGAGATTTAAATGCACTGGTAAGCCAGTCTCATTAGCCAGTGAGATTGCAGTTCAAGGAGGCCCAACTCTGGGTGCCTGTATGATATGTTATGCAGTTTCATATGAAAGTTAGTCATTTAACTCTCTTCCCTTCCTTTTTTTTTTTTTTCCCCCCTCTTTTCCCCAGCAATACAGCTCATTCCAAACAGACAAACTGGAATGCAGCCAGGTGGGGAACTGGCGATCCAGCCCTGCAGTGAACGCTGCCACCATCCAAGAACAAAACTTCCATTCAGAAAACAGTGAACTTTTATATGCCCCGTCATATAGCTTGCCTTTCTCTTACCATTATGGACACTTCCCTGTAGATTCTCATGTCTTCAGTAGCAAAAAGCAAATGCTGCCTTCAAAGTTTGGGCAGTCTCAAGGAGCACCTTGTGAAGTGGCTCGATTTTTCTTGAGTACGCTGCAGACAAATGGAGAATGTCAGTGGCATTATGCCAACTCCTTGGTACCCAACAGCCAGTCACCTTCCAAAAATCTTCCTGATCAGCCAGTGAACATCATTCGACATAATCTTGCACAGAGTTATGAAGGTGGGTATCATTTAAAAAAAAAAAAAAAGCAAAGGTGTCTGGGAAAGATTTGTAATTGTAGTTTAAAAACAGGAATTACGAGATGTTTAGGAAATACAGAAAACAAGAAACAGTGGTTAACAACCATTCTGTTTATAGTATTTACATGTTCATCCCTCTTCCCGTTACCATCAACACTTGATTAGGAATATTACCAAAGCATCAGCTGCAAAAATGTATTCACCAGAATCAGTTTTAGAACAGAGCAGAGATACCACCTCCTTTAACACTAGCACAGTTTACCTTCATGTTTTACACTATCAGAGTTATTTAGTGCAGTTGCTCAGGTAAGTAATTGCTGGTCAGAAAGAAACAAGTGTACTTCAGCTCACATACAGAAATTAAAATAAACATGCTCTATTTCCATAAAAATTGAAGGTTGTCCTTTCTAAGCATGAAGGCATTCTGAATGGCTTTACCTTACAGTTACTACAGTGAATGAGTAAATGAAATGCACCGTCTTCTGCTTTATTTGAAAATGTCATCTGTGCTCCTCCCCAATCAGCTGCATTATCTTCTATACAGATGGTCAGCTCAAATACTTTGAAGGAAGCACTAAAGACATTGACTTCTCTGAGGTGGCAGTCTGTAAGAAATAACCATGCTAAAACCATAGAGTAACTAAATGTAAACAAGCTCAGGATACACTCTAATCCTTAGATCCCATATATGTTATATCTATCTACATATAATATTTTGATTAGTTAAAAATTACTGATGAGGACTGACTGGTTGACAGACTGTTATAAAGTTAGATGGAAACATTCCTTTGTTCTAGCTTCATTGAGGATGGGACAGCGGAAGCAGTAGTGAAAATAAAAAAATAAATAATAATAATAAAAAAAAGCTAGAAAAGATAGGCTCAGGATTCTTGAATACCAGAAACAAGCATTTATTCATTTAGGGACTTGACATCAGATAATCTAGATCTGAAGGGAGTATCTGCAGATGTTAGAAGCTGAGCTTGCTATATCAGGCAGAAGACGGTATCAGACATCAAATGTGTCTCCCACAGAGGAGTAAATAACTTCTGCCCAGGGTTTTGTCCTTCACAGGCCCATTTGACTTCACCCAGCTGATTGACCTCACCCAGCTGACTGTAGCATTTTATTTTACTGTTCTGTTAGGTTGAAAATGAGCAAGACTGAAGCACTTCTTACAGCTCAGTGCAGGTTAAATGCTTTTGCTGAGTTCATGCTCCTCTAATGTGTTGGCTTCCTTTTGTTACTGTTGTGAACAGGGTGTGAAAGAAGTAGCCTTAGACCAAAAATAAGAAAAAAAAAAAAAAAAAAAAAAAAAAAAAAGCTAGATCTTTTGAGGATAAGTATAAAGATTGTATACCCTGCAGATCCCCAGTAAGTCTGCAGGAACAAAGCTGTTTTAGGCATACAGAAGTCAGCCCAGCTTTTCTTCTCTGCTTCCAGACTAACAGATGCCGTCAGACTGATCGAGAAAATAGATCCACCCCTTGCTGGTCAGAGGGTGCCATCAGATACACTGAGAGTGGATGTGGAAAGAACAGTCTGTTCAGAAAACAGTCTGTAAAATTGATTGTGGCCATAACATTTGCCAACAAAGCCCAATGAGCATAGCAGCAGACAAGCAATTTACCATCAGTCGGTTGATATGGGCAGATAACTCCAAGTAAATATATTAAGTCAGAAGGATTCCACAGGAATACTGTTAAATATGTTAAAACAGAAAAAAGCCCAACAAAAAACTGCAAGCAACTGCTGGTATTTTTCAATTTCATCATGCATGCATACCTTCACCACTTCCTCATGAACAGGAAAATGGAGCTGTGATACCAGCAGTTCTTACTTCTGGTTCTACTTCTGCTTAAGATTTTGTTGTTTAAAGTGGAATATGGTTGTCTTTTGAGCACAGATCTATTTTAATGGATGTTTAGCTATTGAGCATTTGATACAATTGGTACAATTAATTATCCACAAAAGCACTTATAATTGTACTATTTAGGAAGGAAAAAAGAATATGGTGAAATTCAGGCCTGGTCAGAGATCATTGCTTGAGTTCACACACAGTGTTAAAAGAGGGGAAAGAAAAATGGAGCCTCCACTGCAAAAAGGATTTGTAGCTAATTGTTCCAGAGTCTGTTTCCTCCTGAGGCAGAATTAGTCCTCTTGTACTTTTGCTGAGGCTGGTGGCAGAAGAGAAATCTGAAACTTTGGAAGCAAGCAGCTTTTTGCTTTGAATTGAAAGGGGCATCTGATCTTCCTTACGTTGTCAACTGCTGCTTTTTCCAGCAGTTCACTGAAAAACTGACAGCCAGTAAGCTTCAAAGCAGAGAGGATCTGCTTAGCGTCATTATCTTCAATCCAAAGGCAATGCCAAATATGACATCTGGCAACCGGGTTGGATGGAAGGGCTATTCCACATCACATCCATAGAAACATCTGCCAAAAATGCCGTAGGCCAGAGACATTTTTATCTATGGAAAATAGCTTCTTTTGGAGAGATCAGAGATTTTAAGATGATCATGCCAAGCCATCAAAGCTCTGGAAAAGCACGTAGCAGATAAAACTGCCTGCCAATCAGATGCTGCCGCCTCAGAATCTGGGTTTGAAGCTTCTTCCACTTTTTTCCAGTTGACCTAGTCAGCAGAAAAGAAACTCACTTCAGAGAAGGCTACCGTATTTGGAGTCAGGGAAGTTTCCTTTGTACACTTGAATGGATACATTACTACTGTGGGTACCACAGTACTTGCTTCTCCTTAAGTTATGCTGTTGGCCAGTCTGTACTTAGTGCCATTAATCACACCAAAACTCAGGAAATTATGGAGAATACTAAGAAGATCTGTGAAAAAGCTCTGGTTTATCTTCCATCCCCAAACCAACTCCCCAGGTTTAGCCAGGGACTACTGTAACAAATACATGATATCTTTTGTGAAAAGTGTGTTCCACTAGAGACAAAGAGGGCTTGAAGATCATGTTGCCTTACTATTGTTTTTGGAGGGAGAAGAATGGAGAAGACAGTAATTACAACATCAGCCAATGCCTCAGATTGTTCGCAATCAGGGTTCAGATCAGGACACAGCACAGATATTGAGCTAATCTAAAAGATGTCCTTTTCATGGGCATGGAAGTATTAAGACATTGTTGTGTCTTTGCCTTTTTTGACACGGAGGAAAATCAGCATACCTTTGTGACACAGGAGCATGTGACCTGAGCAGTACAGGTCTGCTCATTGGTCTTCAGCAAAACTCAGTGACTGAGCAATTGATCCTTTAGTCTGAAGGCCCACTTGTACAAAGGATCAGGAAACATACTGAAATATCATGGGCTACATGTCAACATTCAAGTGGCGGCATACTGTCTTTTCAAAACATAGAGTAACTGTCAGGAGTACACTCTTCCGAAATTAGTGTAGATCAGAGAGCCTGAGAAAAAAATGTGCAAGACAAAGCATGCATGAAGAGGAGTTCAGTTGTGTCCTAAAAATAGACAAGGCTTTTTACAGACAGCATGCAAAACTCTGCTGATAAGGCCTACATACATTTCGCATGAAGATGAGTGCTGAGTACCAAACTTTCTTTGCTTTAACCTGGTTCCAGGATGCCTTCCTTTTATTTTTATGGAAATAGACATGGGCAATGGGAGAAAAAGGAACAGCTCTATCTGTTAACATCTTGGTACAGAAAAGCATGTTTGTGAACGAAATACCTTCTCTGCAAGCATCTTGCCCAGCTGAGCACCATCTGATCTTTGACTGCATTATTTAAAGGTGAGGAGGGAATGCTCCTTGCTGCAGCACTGTGTTTGACAGGGGAAAGGTTGCTCTAGTATACTGTAACTATGAATAATGTGTTAAACAAAGACCACTACCTGCTTGAGTAGCCTTCCTGTTCCCACTCGGATGGTTGGATGCTGAAATCTGAGCAGTCTGCCAGGTGATGGGGCTCTTATCTCTAGGTTTTCCCTCCACTTGCCCAAGCTGCACCCCGTGCGCCAGTGGGAAAGCAGAGCTACTTTGCAAGAATTACAGACATGATGCCTGAAGGACTGAGTTGACTGCCGCAGTTGTAGGCTGCTGTGAATGGAGGTGGTATAAGTAATCATGAATGGGCCTCCTAGAAAGCTGCTGTCACTCTGGTATGATATAAAGCTTGGGTGTGCAGTGTATCTATCTCACTTGGCATAGCTGAGTTGCTCTGGCAGAAGAGTGGTCTGGAAAGCACCCCAAACTAAGGCACTGTCTTCAACGACTGTAAAGCATTTTCAGGGCTGGAGCAGTGCAGAACGCATGGAGTGCCCGTGCACCTGCTGAGGCAGGTACGCTGGCAACTGCCCACACGTCACATGGGTGGAAGCAATACTGGGGTGCTGCCCTTCTACAGCAGTACAAAGCAGCTGGTCAGCTTTCGATTAACTTCTGTATGAAGAACTCCCCAGGAGGAGTCTGTCCCAGGGCATCCTTGGGTTTTTGTCTGCAAAGGAAGACAAAAGCACATTTAAGTCTAGCTCCAGTAACTGTTCTGAATGTGAGCGGACAAAACCAACTGTGCTCTGTTGCACTGCAGACATGACTTGCTTAACTCTCTGGTCTAACTCCATGAATGTGCTGACAACTTTAATGGAAGCCTGCAAACAATTAACCAGACGCTTACCTTCTTCCTCAGCAAAAGAGACGAAACCCATGTTTGAGAAACAGCATATAACAAAATGGATATCCTGTAAATCTCCCAAGTATGCAAATTACTTCTTGGTACCAAGAAGAAAGCCACCAGCCCAGCAGAATTTCAGATTACAGAAATAAAGATAACAAGGCAGGGGGCAACTGGTCGCCATGATGCTTCAGCTTCTTACCAGTGTGGGCTCTAAAAATGGAAACCAACAATCTTTTGTCAGAGATTAGAGGAGAGTCATGAAGTAACAATACTCCATGCTGCAGTAAGAGCACAAACCCATCACTCCCATGGATGTTTCAAGTGGGAAAACCACTAAAAGCAGTACACCAGATTAGTTAAACCATATTAGTTATGTGTCAGTAGCTCTTAGCATGTATACTTATTTCACAGTAAGAATGCCAAACACGGAGCTAAAATTACAGTAGTATAACTACACTGGTAAAATTTCCAAGTATCAAATCAAAATTGCTGAATCCCCATTTTGATTTGTGATCTAAGAGGGCCATTTTTCAACAGCTGATGAGAATTCATTTTACTTAGGACTGCAAATACTTTTTGGTACAAAATATATACCTGGAAATAAAAAAGACTAACTTGAAAGGTTGTTGTTTCTAGGAGGGTGGTGGGTTGATCAAGAAGAAATTGGATCCAGATTCCAGTTTAAATTCTGGTGTTAATTATGTGGTGCAACTCCCTCTGAAATTAATGAAGTTCTGCATATAAAAAAAGGTACAATTGAGCTATTTCTGCTTCCTCTGTTATACATGAAGGCTTTGCCAGTCTACTATAGCACAGGGAATATTTAATTATTAGTGGGTACAGTTACACCAGCAACCACTACAGGGGAACTCCAAAACTTTGAACATGTTGAATAAAATTTTCAGAAGAACAGAAAATCCCTTTTACAAAAGGCACTTTGGTGTCCAGGGCTTTCAGTGAGCATAACACCAAACAGAGTTTAGGCTTAATTTGAGAAATTTGCTAAGTGCCTCATTTAACCTTTAACATAAAACTTTTCAAATATGCCTTGGAGGAACAGTGTAACTTTCAAACTGTTCATACAAGACAGTGCAAAAAAATTAGCACTCATCTCATTTTAGCCAATACTGGCTTTTCATCCTACCCTTTGTACACAAAGGAAAAGCTGAGCAAGCAGAGCAGAAAATGATAAAAACAATTCATATTGTTTCAGGGTTCAGCTACCATGCAGAAACTTAAGAGAAAACTAAGATTATTCAATGTATTTTAGAGGAAAAGCCTAAATAGAAATCCTAGTTCATAATCTCTTGAAATTTTAAGAACTGAGCTTCTGGTCTTCCATGCACACCCAGCTTGGTACTCCTGCATTCAAACAAACATTCTCAGTATGTGTTGTGAATTATAATGATACATACAGCTTTATTACATGATAGTACCTTAAAAGCAGAGATATAGCATTACTCAAGAAGTATTTGTTGCTTTTCAATAGATGTTTTTAATATGTGGTGCTAGTTTTTCAAGGAGAAAAAGCAAAGCCTTTAACATGAGACAATCTAGATATTACATATATCACAAGTAGGTATCACAAATTACATACTGACATGTCAGTATCTAATACTACACAGTCTCTTCTTTCCTTACAGTTCCGAGTGTCAAATACATTTCCACAGTGACACAAAGAATAAATTCTGTTTTATTCTAATCATTGAATCATTGATATGTAATAAATATTACCCATCCTTTGGTAAATAATTTGATAAATCTCTGAAAAGATCTAACTTAAGGTTAATGTTTTTGATAGCAGGTCACATTTCCAAATATTTATTTGGTTTAATTTCCCCCAATTTAACTACATCAGTAATGATTGATTGATTGATAATTATCCAGCCAAACAAATGGGCATTTCACATAGCAAACCTTTTCAGAATTGTTCAATGCTGTTGGCCCTTCTGAACGGGTTGGTTTGTTTTTACTTTTCAGCACTGTCTTAAAGAGACTTGTCCAAAGCCACTGAGGAAAATGGGAATGTCTCCAGTGTCTTCACTGGGACTCGGATCTGGCCCAAGACAAACACGTATATGAGTTCCATCATAAAAAGTATTAGTCTATTATATGAGCTCATTGTCAGTAATTAACATATTTTCTCTTTCCTGCAAGTGCCCATATCAAACAGAAGATACAGCCAAGATGCTCTATCTGACAACTTTACAAGCTGCACAGCACCCATGCCAGGCAGCAGATACAAAGAAGAGATTTATGATTCTGGCATCACGAAACCCAACAAAATAGAAACCAGGATTCAGCCACCTCACCAACTCATTAAAGAAGAAAACAAGTTAGCTTTTAACAGAGACCTACAAGAAAAAATCAGTATTAATGAAAGTTCTTTTTCAAACTCAATAACTAACTCCTTGCTGCCAAAATCAGAATGTTTCCAGTCTAAAACTATAGGACAATTAAGTCATCTCCTGCCAATGCCCTCAGTGTATGAGCAAACAAGAAGGATTTCCATGAAAGAACCCAAATATGGGCATATTAGTCACTATGCTACAAATCTAGATGAACTGGACAGCGATGAAAGAATGGCTGTAAAGCTTGATCACGACTCTGAAAGTGAACGTGTGATGGATGTGAGACCCTCCGGACAAGTTCCATTTGTGCTTCTAAATTATCACCATGTTTTAGCCAAACACGGTACCTTTCAAACTTCATCATGTACAGCGACAGGACACGTAGGAGAAAATTACGGATATAATTCTGAGGAAGTAAATACCTTTATCTACAAAACCCAAAGCCCCTCCTCAGCTTCTTCTCCAGAAACACACAAGGAATCTGCACTACCCCATTATATTGGAACTTCTGTAATAATAGCCAATGGAAGGTGACGTTAATAGAGGAGTATTTACATTTAATTAAGAAGCTAAACTGTAATGATTTGCAAAAAGCATGAGAAAACATGGTTACATGTACTGAGCATAGCTGAAGGTCAATGAGGGACAGACTCATGTGTTCCTGGCAAGCCACATGTAACAGGACCTTCAAGATCAGGAAAAAACCCTACATCTAGCTTCCGTGCTTCATTGTCACAGATTAAGCTCTGGTGCCAGTGAGAAGACATGTTACAGATCTTATTTTTGTTATTTTATAGTGTGCAACAACATTAAATGATAGGAGTTATATGCAGAGATTTATATGAAGAACATCTTTTTTCCTTAACCCCTCCTTCTCAAAATACATTCAAGATTTTTTTTTATCATTATCATAAACTATGCACTCTAGTTTAGGTATGTTTGACAAACTGTGTGAAACCTTACATCAGTTCTCTGCCCACGTGTTAAACACCCTGACAAATTAACTTTGTTTTAAAAGTGGTGATTTTTAGTATCCGTAATAACAGCTGTACTAACTAAGCAGAACTCAGTTTGGGAAAAGCTTATTTATTAATTATCCAAAAGATTTAAAACTAAATAAATCAAATCTAAATTTGATTTATTTAACATAGATTTCAGTGTTCTTGGATGGTTACCACCACCATTTATCTTGACAAGGAACGATCTGACAAATTAATACATACAAAGAGATGTATTAAAGGGTTACAGGTCTTGTCATGGCAAATTGGGACAAATCATGTAGCAGGGACTACAGACTATACCCCATAAAAGGCTGTAATAAGAAAAAGAAACTTCTAAAACGTGTGTTTCACCAAGTATTCTGGGAGAATGCTGTGCAGATTTTCAAACCAGCTAGTCAAAAATACATCTTAATAATAGCACCAGAAATGTTTTCTTTATAGTCAAGGGAATAATGAACATTTATGCTTTATTTTAAACTTACCACTAGGCTTCTGAAGTTTGAAAGGTTCAGCTTTTAACACACTGAACTTCCTTAAGCATAAATCTCATTGTCAACACAAAGGTAAGATTAATATTTGACTCATTCATGCACTTCACAAATAATGTCAGTGGACAACCCGAGTACGGAAAGTCGAAAGTCACTGCACAACCACAAAACCCAAAGTTGCATTTGAAGTAAAGCAGAGTTTGAGTACACCAGGGTTTGGAATGGATTGCTTTGTACACATCTCAGTTTGGGCTGATCAACTGTAGCAAGCGAAAAGCATACAGTACACATTTACCTTTTGTCCAGCCTATTAGGAACAGATTTCCCATCCTTTTTTTACTTCTTTGTAAAGTTTACAAATGAGGAGATGTCCAGATCTGTGTGTGTTTAATTGACAACAGTCAGTCCACTTTGCTTTTCAACCACTTCCCCAAACACTGTGCGCTCTTGATAGAACAACAAATGACTCCCTAAATAACAGCTGTAAATACCAACAGGATCCGAGTCAGCTATACGTAGCTATATTTCTTTGCCTAATTCGTGGCTAATTTACACTTTAAAAATTTTCTCTATCAGTCTCTCTAAAGAGACCTTTGCTGAAGGAAATGCTTACCTGGCTTGTGCAATATTGAAAAACACTTGCTCATGGATTGCACCTTGTCAGATAAAAATGTAACAAAATACACACTTTTAAAAATTATGTGTTTTCCATCTTTTATATGCAGCAATAATATTCAGTCACTTCCTTGTATGTATGAATATTTATTGCTCTGAGTACACAGAAATACTTTTAAAACATATGATTGAAAACAATTTTCAGTATTTTTATTGCTTCTTATTAAAAGGTTTTATGATGAAGTTAAATTGACGTACACTTGGAAGCTCATGGTTGTCTGACCTTTTCATTTTCTAGAAAAGCATGAAAAATATCTTTTGTGATAAATATAACAAAAAATACCTAATCAGCTATTACCAGAATACTGACTTAAAAAACCCCAGCAGAACCAAACCATCATATTCACTCACTCAGTATGACTGTGCCCCCTGGTTGGTCTAACGCTCGAGCAGCCACCAAGTCCACAGAAATGTCATGAGGGAATGTTACTGTCATTCTGACTTTATAAATTGAAGTGATGAGACACAAGTTGGCTCTGGTTAAAAGCCTTCACAAAGAGACAGCATTACTAATTAACGGGCCCAACTCTTTAAAAGATACAATTATGCCAAGACTTGTATGTTAATTTCATTAAATTCAAACTATGGCCTATAAAGGAGTAACTTCACTGTTTGCATCATTAAAAAGAAACCTGACGCACAATACTCATACCACCCTTTATACCTCATTAGTGGCACTGCTGCACTCAAAGTCAGTCTGGTATATTTTTCTGTTCTTGTAAGTACTTTTCACTGTAAAAACATGTTTTCAGGAACGTACAAATTAGGCTCTGGTTAAAAAATAAAGCCATTGATATTTTTCAGTAAAATACCACAAAATATTTTTCCAGCATCTACCTTGTTATTCACACTTCCAGGCTTTATGCAATGAGCCTGAGCAGAGGAGGTGTTCCATCATTTTCCCACAGATGTTTTACAGTATGTGATATTCAGGTACATGAACTTTCCCTGTTAGGCAATAATGAATCAATTATGCATTCACATATGATAATAGAAGGTAGGTTTCAGAAAAGACCTGTGATTAAAAAAGCAAACGTGTGAAACATTTTTCCTGCCATTCCAAAACAGAAACAGCAATTGCATGTTCACATCTGGAACGTGAGTAAATTACACTGAGAGAAAAATAGGACTTTTAGTCCGTTAAACTACAGATGTTCATAGTAACACTCGTACTGCAGAATGCGGCACAGCCACTGACAGTGGCAATGTTTTTTAATAATTGGAAAAAATAATGTCACAGAAGTGGAGTGTGAATTGGAATATATTATGAAAAATAACCTCATTTCTCTCTACCGTACCTGTTTGAGCCGCTATAGATACGTTTGTCATGTTAACTTGATAGGATTTCAACTCTTAGGGGAGTTGAGACCTGGCAAGTAAACGATACGGAGAATGAGAGAGAGAAAGAGAGGGAGAGAGGGAATATTCTACCAAAATGTAAAGTTTGAAATGTTAATCCCACACTGAGACCTCAAAGTTTTTATCCACTTACTGGAAACACCACAGTGTAAATAAGGTGACAAGGGAACAGACTTCTCTCCAGGTCGCAGTAGCCCTGGAATCTGAAAAATGGTATTAAAGTAATTTAATGAAATTGAGCACAGTGGACAACAGATGTAAAATCAGAGAATATATCACTGAGAAAGTGCAATTGAATGGGAAACCTGTCCAATGACCAGTGTTTCTCTAAAAATCACAAAACAGGACACTGTGTTTTTTCAATATTTCAGTTATACTTCAAAATCACCACAGAGAAAATTTCATTATTCCATTTTTTCCTGAGATTAGATTTTGCTTTTTTTTTTTTTTTTTTTTTTTTTTTTTTTAATATGATGCAGATAAAAGCTATTTGGCAAATGTAGGTGAAAAAAGCACGCAAAACAAACAATCTATTAATGCTCAGAATTATATATGTATTCCCTAAAAATGTAAAGCATTTTTGCTTATTTATTATGTAAAACAAAACTGTTAAAAAGTTAATAAAATCCTGTAGCCAAAGGAAAAATGAGTTGGATTTCTTTTTTACTACAAAAGACAGGGTTTCACAAAGAATAAGGTTGCATATCTGAAAATTTATTTCAACTGTAGTATGTACTATATTTGACAGTTAATGCACTATAAAATACAAGGATTTTTGTTTTATTTATTCTGTTTTAGCCACACCGCATTTTAAACGAAGACTCTTCAGAGAACTGAAAATAACACAGAATCACTAATGAAACGCGCTAATGCAAGATGCTCAAACACGACATCAGTTCACAATTCTTCCCTGCAGTTCTTTTCACCCAGCTGTGTGTGACGTGACCGCAGCCTGTGGCATGCCAGCATTTTCTGACCTCTGTTCTTTCCTCAGTCCAGATTTAATTTCTTTGGTGTCTGATCAGCGCGGTGCATCACGGCAGTAACTTATGCATCCAAATGCTTTTATCAACTAGTTACCCCCAGGAACCAGCTCTTTAGAGCACAAATCGTTTTCATGACAGATGTTAAGCTGAACTTCATTTTTTAAAAAAAAATATATCTACTCTATATTCCAATGTAGTTGCAGAGAGTGAATTTTTAGACTGCTGATGTCTTGCAGCAAAGAAATAAAAAAAATGTTGTACGACAAAGCAGCAGCACAAAGGATTAAATGCTTAAATATTATTTCTAGATAATAGCCCTTGAAGAAGATTATTTTTGTTGGATATATTTAAAAAAAAATGTTCCGAAGTCTTATAAAACCTTTTACTAGAAGTAAGATGTACTGCTTGCACTCTTAAACGTTAAGTACGTTATTACTTTTCAAATCTTTGGAAACAGCATTGGTGCTGACTGGACACAACCCGCCTACTCCTTCTGAACACAGACACGTGCCAGCACACCCGGCCCGCTCGGCAGAATTTTTCCTATCAATAAACAATCTTCACAAATATTTTCACAATGTGTAATGAGAAATGTTATAGCAGAGTCCAGGAGGAAAAAAATGAAGTCACAGAAATACGGACACCATAATAAATGTTTTTTGAAAGCACTTCATCAAGAAAATACTTTAAGATATGACTCACAGTGAAAGAGGTGTTTTACTAATCGGGACAGTTGAATGAAATGAAACATTTTCAGTGCATTACTTCTGGATCTGGAATTGTCTGATTCTCTCCGTACCTATGTCCAGAGACACTCTACACCACGCTTGTCTCCTACACCAAGAACAATAACAATGATTTTCCTACGAAACTGTTGTGGCTTTCTGGGTGTGCCAAGTTTGGCATAAAAAGAGTTAAGACTACTGGCTGTGTCCCCTGCCTGCCCTCAGGTGAGTGTGGTACAGGAAGGGTCACTGGCTGCCTTGGCAGGACCAGCTGCAAGTCAGAAGGACCTTACGCAGCTGCTCACTATACAACCACAATTTTCTTTGTGCTGTTCTTTGGTTCTTCTGAAGGAAAAGTTGGGTTTGTAACAAAACACTTCACCCAACTCAAGGCTGTTTCCTCAAGACAACAGGTAGTTTTATACACACAGAATAGGCCCCTAAAAAGTAGAGGCAAAGCGGTACATTCCCACGGCCCCCACCTACGCTCCGGCACCCCCACACGTGGTTAGTTCTCATCTGCAGGAAGGAAGTTCAACACTAAGTTTCTTTCCAATGCAAAAATTTTTAGGATAATCTTACAACTCAAAGTCAGAACAGAACAAGCTTTTCATTAAGAAGGCAATGAAGAAATCCAAAAGGAACAATAGCAGCCAGGAAATGTTGTAGCATTTTACTATTAAAAATTCCATCTGCCTGCTGCCCAGACACTGTGGTTGCGTAGCTGAGTGAAGGTCTGCAGGTCCAGTCTGCCCTGCACGCAGGAACATGCGTTATCAGTCCTTTACAGTACTTGGCCCTAGCGAAGGGAGAGCATGTTTTAAGGAAGTAATTCAAGTCAAAACCTGATGCATGACCTGGTCATTAAAAGAAATCTACAGGCACTCATCAGTCTAACCGCAATATGAGCTAAATAAGAGGTGCTTCCTATAGGCACACCCTGCAGAGACTGTGTTTTAGCTACAATTATCAGCTTGATGTACAGATCTCAAGTTTTGTAAAACTCTGTGGTTGGAAAAACAGTACCAGAGCTACGCTTTCCACAGCTGACCTGCAGCAGCACATGTTGCTCGTAAGCTGCTTGAAGAAGGTAGAAAAGAAGTGAAGATGCACAAGGAAGATGTGAATGTGCATATGCACACACACACACTTTTGTTTATACATGCATATATAAATGGTTTCTTCTTTTTATTTAAACTTTGTTAACTGAGACTCAGGTTTCATTTGATTATAATATCCATCAACATTTGATTCTGCAATAAAGGTAGTTGCCAAAAATTAAGAGCCCAAAGTAGTTTTGAAAGCATCTGGTGGGAAAAAGCAAAACCTGGTGTTGATGTGTATCACCTTAACTAAGCCAATTAACAGCTGTCCTCACTCCACTACACAGTTCTATGAAATACTGATGTGCAGTTTCATATGATGCGACTCATGGGGGGAAAAGAAAACAGCAGGATACGGACAACCAGGCACACAGACAAATCTACTGTGATATGGAGCATAAAATCCTAAATGTAATAGGGACAACTTAATTTCTAGCACTTGGTGCCAAACCACCTAAACCCTAATATGTGAGGATTACTCTAAATTACCATTACAGACTAGTTTCCTTGTTTTAAGAGTTCTTGGCTTTGTAACTGAAACAATCTACTAACATGTTCGGATTGTTTATGAGGTGAACTTTAACCTAAAAACCCCATTTCTGGCTAGTAGACAGAAGTCCTTTGTGGAAACCAATTTGCCTTATCCACCTTCAGTAGGGACGAGGTAATGTAATAAGCAGTGCTGCCTACTTGAGGAAATGAAGCTGGCCACATCGCACCTATGACAGACTTTTCATCTGCAGAGAACTGTTTGAAGTGCTGTGGTGGCCCAGCCTCGTGGTGCAAATTCGCCTTGCCCGGGAGAAAAACCCGACAAGCTGCCATCGCACGGAAGTTCCCACGTGCCTCTTCCATGATGCTTTCCAATCATGACCAAGCTGTTACACCTAACCTGGCACTGTGCCACCAGCCCCCAAAGCGGCTACTTTCAGGTCAGTATATGTTAAACCTCTTACTTTTAATGATTAGTGGCAAACCAGATGCCCCGCTTTGAGAAAGGGAGTGACAACAGAAACAATGGAGGAGAATTTGGACACAGGCTAACTGCATGCTTTGTCTTTTTCACTGTAGTAGTTGTTTATGGCAGGAATTTTAAGAGCTGGGCATTTCCTCTAATTCATTGCTTAACTTCATTGCTATTACAACAGAATTACTGTTAAATTCTAAACTACTTAGGACTTTCCTCTCCTGACATGGGATTCTCCAATAACTTGGATAAGAAGACTGCAACGAGGTGATACGCTACTCCAGTGGGCTATTCTTACGGGGGCTAGAGCCTCTTGGAAGACCACGACTCAAAGGAAATACGAGATGATTTACTCAGATTCAATTGACTAAGAAGAGTAGACTACAAATAATTTGGATGACCAACCACAGTTCTTAAGTGCTGATGGAAAACTCTCCTAAAACTCAAGGCAGCCATGAGAGAGTTGCAGACCTGAGACCAAAGCACAGTTGTACAGGGCCACATGGAGGAGAATTAAATCAGCAAGGCTCTACACTTAGACCCAAATTTAAACACAGCGGTAATCCCAGTAATTCAGAAATATATGATGAGCTCTTCCAGCTGTTTCCACTGCAGACAATGCATTAACCAGAATTTAGTTTAAAAAAACATAGTAAAAATGTAAATATTGTACTGCACTGTGCTAAAGTACAATAAAACCGTTAGGTTCATGGTTGGACTAGATGATCTTCAAGGTCTTTTCCAACCTAGATGATACTGTGATTCTGTGTAAAAACACAGAGACACAAAAAGGAAATATTTAGCCACTTCAGTTTCTCAAATACAGTGTAAATGAAGAGAAAGTTCTGTTCACTGCCAAGTATTCCTTCGCAATCGGGCCTCTTCTAAAGAACAGATGCTTACAAAGAATGGCAACATAATGTGTTTTAATGTTAATATGAACATTAAAAGAATAAAGGCCTTCAGCAACCTTGAAGTTATCCACATCAAAGTACAAATATATCAGAAAATCAGAAGGAAAAAAAAAAAAATCAAGCTATCAACTACCCTTCCCACCTTTAAGCAAGTTTAGCTGTTTGGTGCCAAACACTAAAGAGTCTCCCTTTGCACTTTGAGCTCTGAGGACTATTAATGCTTTGGGACTATGAGGTTTCTCAGCATGTCAAAAGAGTTGCCGTCTGGGTGCACAGACTCTACACCCTTGCCTTCTTCATGAACTTGAAGGAATCCATAATCATCTATCCCAACTATCCATGCGATTGGGCCCTCCTCACTGTGGAGACGGACTTGCTTACCGCTGCAAACAAAGAGAACCAGATGGTTAGGAATTAATTGGCGGACACTGCACAAACAATTAAAAATAGTTTAGAGGACTAATGTCTAGTGGAATATTTTTACTTCCCACTTCACTGGTTCTTTACAGAGAATCATCTTTAGCAGCAGTTTTTACCTGCTTTGATTTCTTTCTGTGGAATTAATAAAGTTGGAATTAATCCAAACAGTCTATTTTTTTAATAAAAGACATGAGTACAGCAGCTTCATCACTAGCTAAACAAATAATTCCCAATTCCTTTTGTTTTGAGATGATACATGTCAAATAACTAGAAGCATTTTTTAACTCATGCTAGTCCACTGATTTTACTATGTGCTATTTTAACTCTCTCTTAAAAAATTACATCCTACTTGGGCGTATATTTTAATTAAGTTACTAGTATTGAAGGCAATCTAGTAGAAAAAGTAGGAAAAGACAAAATATCCATGAGTTCTCTCTAATTTTCTTAAAAGAAAGCTTGAGAAGAACTTTATACTTACCTGTGTATCCAGTACTTGTAGTAACGGGGAAGAACTCCATTGGGCCCTTTCTCCTGAAAAATATCTATAAGCCTCTCTAGCACAGTCACAGTTCTTGCAATAAGACAGTCTGCAGTTAAGGGCTTCAGCTTTGTCCCCTCTTTCTTATTAAATTTTGTGATGAGATCATTGATGCATATGGTGGGGTTGCTGTTATTCACATTAAATCCAAAGCCTGAAGAAGACAAACCAAAAGAAGAGGACAGGATCTGTAAATACAAACGCTTGGCTACCACCAGAAAGTCACTTTATTCAGCTACCCGATGCAATTATCTCTAAGGATGTTTCCAGTAGCTGTTTTTCTTCAGTCTCTTACACCTTTAAATCTTTCTACTTGTGTAATTACAAATCTCAGTCCAGATTTTACTTGTTCCTTGCCCTTAAAACACCTCCTCAGAATTGTAGAAGCAAATCCAGTGCAGTCTTTCAACAACACACCATCCCATCTATGAGGGTTAGGAAGATGTAAATGGTAACTTGCACACTGGTTATAATAACATCAAAATCTCAAGAAGCTGACAGGTCATTAGCTAATTGAGAGTAAATCATTGATCATACGCTAAGATGGAGTTTTATCTTTCAGTCTAAAATTTAATTAAGAGACCTTTCTGTTTACTACAGTTAGCTGACTGCATTTTCTGAAAATTAAGCCTTTTTACTCAGCTGATAAGCCTTGTTTGGCTAGCTCTGAAAAGCCCAGAAGATTTAACTTTGCTGCATAAGACTCCAGTTTGTTTAATCTATCTTCCCACAGCATATCCTTTAGAAGCCTCAAGTCTCTTGCTGAGATTTCTCCAGCTAGAATAACGTTGGCAGAATGCCTTTCTTATTTAAATATGGCTCTTGGGGCCTTTTTTTTAGCCTGCTGAAACAGGCTTTGAGAGATGTAAAGAAATATATTGTATTATCTGTTTATTTTTTTCTCCTAATAATTTTGATTTTTTCTTTCCTCAGACATTTGGGATAAACCCCCTGTCTGTCAATCAGGTTTAGACATGATACACTGCCGTCTGCAAGAAGGTCCAAATGAACTGTGTTGTAAATTTGCTATTAATGAGACTATTCATAAATGGAAATAATTTGTATTAACTATGAGGAGAAGGATCTCTTACAGTGAAAAGTAGTTTTTGACTTTTAACTAGTCAAGAGAATGCATGCTAAGAAAGCTACACTGATACAAGTATTGATACACTGATTCTATGGAAACGAGGCAAAATGTATTATTGGAAAGAAACAAAGGAAAATGATCTGGAAAATATAATGTGCCATGCCAACAAATCCCAACTCAGCTGTTTAAACTCAAATATGGCACAAGTGAAGAGAGAGTGACTGTGGCCATGAAGATGTGATTGGTCCTGTCAGGGTATATAATGGGGCCTTGGAGTCCACCTGCAGGCTCAGGCTTGTTTGTATGGAGATGGCTCCTGAGCAGTCCAAAAACTGCAACAGATACAAGAGACATACTGAGATGACAAGCTCAGCTGAGGCAGAAGCACCTCGGGATAAAAGGAGTGGCAAAAATGTAGCCAGCTAATTCAGGACTCTTAGGGCATCTCTGCATTTCCCACATGAGAAGAGTGAAAAACAAGCATCTATGCACTGATCTTGCAGTGTGCTGATGTGGCCAATACATCTTCCAGTTCTAGAGCGAGCCCTGCCTTCAGCATCTGTGCACTGTTCAGACATGCCTTAGCTGCACACAGAGGCAGACGGAGCTCTTGGAGGTCAAGCACATTGGCTCTCCCTTGCATTCCGCTTGTTTTTGGCTACCTACGTCTGTTCTGAGTCTCGCCCTCACATTAATGAAGCCCTTACATTATCTTCTGCAGAACTCTCCTTCCAAAAGTCTCACAACAATGAAGTCCTTAAAAAAAGAATTTTTAAAAGCATGTTTGAAAGTATGGTCATGAACTTTGTCATCTGTGAGGCCTTGAGCATGTGGTACAGGTGAAAAGGCAGGTTTGTCTTTTGCCTTATTCGTCTGAATTACTTCTCAGAGCAGTGAAGCCAGGTAGATAAATTTTGATTTTGATCATAACCCCCATATATGGGACACTCTTCATGAGTGCCATGTAAACAATGAGGTCTAGGTAAGGAATCTGCATGACTGTAGAAAGGGGATGGATGCATTTGGCTTACCTTTCCTGTTGTGGAAGTTTGATTTCATTGCTACTACTAATACAGGAAGTTAGATATCATGTGTCACCCCTACTACTCTCAGTGACATACATCATTGCGCAATGGAAAAAATCCTAGGACTGTATGTGGCAATTAAGTTTCAGTCTCAGAAGCTTCCAGGTGAAAGGAAGTTGATGAAAATGTACAGCTTTGTATATACCTCAGACCTATCACCACCAAGATGACAAATCTCAGAGAGAATGCATACAGGAAGTTTCCATTTGAATTTGAGTGTTTTGGTGTTTAGGGTAAGAAACACAAGGTCCAAACCAAATATGTAATGTCCAAAGAGATATCTGATAAGATGAACTAGTTTTTGAGCCATTTTTTGGTGTTAACTTTTCTTGTGTTAACCAGAACAGGCTCTGCAAAAACATACGGAAGCAGTAAATGGTTGACGTGACACAGAGAGACTTTTTAAGTGTCTCAGTGCAACTTCCATTCTGTACATGTAGATTATTTACAAAATGAGGATATAACAATTGAACAGAAAATTCAACGGCTGGGCATGTTTCACAGAAAGAGGTGGTGACTACTTCACTTGTTTTGCTTGTTTGCACCTTAAAATTTGCAGCACCTTGACAGAAACAGCATCATGCCCACACTCTCTTTGCAATATACTTCACTTATCTACTGTGCTACATTAAAATATAAACCAAAGATTATCATTATCATCTTTAACCTTTCAGACTTGCTAAGGAAATTTCACATTTAGATTTTTAGACATATCAGAGATAATTATTTTTGGAACCAGAACCTAGAGCTTTGCTGGCAGGTTTCTAAGCGTGTTGGACAGATCTGTGCTGCTGCTGGTTAAGGGAAGAATTTCCCTTAACAAATAGCAGGATGATTATCAGACTTGAAATGATAAAAACACTTCATACTTACTTGTGCACCTAAATGTCTTTCCCTGTTATAGCACTGGGACTTGCTGGAAAATACATGGACAGTCTTTTTGAGATTGGCTGTGCTACCTTATGGAACCAGTTTTCCAGGTACTGTTTGTCTTCACAATGAACAGATTGTCACTCTTTGCTCTCTGACCCAGACTTCCCAATTACTTTGCAAATTTTACTTTCTGAGAGAACTAAAGAAAGTATTAATTAATCAAATCATTACTTCACTGCTGCTTCACTAGCAATATTCCAGTTTCTAGAAAGGTATCAACAGGAACAAGTTATGCATATAGTTTAAAAGGATAAAAGGAGAAATTAAAACATTACTATGTGTATGTAGCTCTTTTTCTCCTGATTTAAAAGGCATGTTCTTTATTTAACTATTTGTAATGCTGAAAAAAAACAGATACATTTTCCAGTATATTCTAGTTCTGCAATAGACCAAGGAGGACATTTTCCCTCTCCTCTATAACGCTCTTTCTTTGAACTCCACTACATCAGCTCAGATGCTTACATTTACGTTTTCCTTGTCAAACATATGGAATTATTAAGAAGAAGGAAAACATTTACTTCTTGTGCTTCCTTTTGATTTAACATTGTGCTTTATTTCCTAATGCCTGCTGTCATTATTTGTTCTTGTCCTTATTATTTGAACTCATAAAGACATTAATAACAAATTTCTTCAGAAAAAAACCTTCAGAAAATAGACACTTACCAATAAGTATATGAAACGTTGTTTCAATAAGTGTAGAGGTTACCAGAACTCCACCAAGCTTCATAAGATCACTGTAGTAAATATCATTTGGCCATTTTACTCGCAGATCAATATCCTAAAGAAATAAAACCATACATTTAGAAATACTCTGCTCTTCAATACTGATTATAAGAACATTCCTCACTCCATATTCTATATTTTCTGTACCTCTTTGTCACACCAAATGTGATACTGTCAACTGCTCTTCATAATAAGAACCTATTTAAGTGCTCCACAAATGTTACTGAAAAAGTCACAGTAACATGATTACATGATGTACTAAGGAGGTTGGCAGCTGTCAGAGAAAAGTGTTTATTTATTAAAAAAGAATATGGCAGATAATAAAGGTGTAGAGCAACCAAATGGAGGACTAAAGATACTAGAGATTTTCAGTATCAAAACTGTGAGGTTTCATACAATTAATTTCCCTCATTCGTGAGTGTCTATTAGAGATGTAAAAGATCTATCCAAGAAAGATACAAACTGTGGCAGCCACTGTGGCTCACTACTGATAAACAATCAGGGTAAGCCCACAGTAACATCAACACTGTATTTGAGAATCCTTGAAGAAACCAGACAAGGAGAAAATGACATCTTGAATTTCGGAAAGGAAATTTAGCAGACAGGAGAAATTCCAGTTCACAACTATGTAAATACTTCAGTAATGTCCTAAATATATTCACATTTTCAGCAGCTACGCTCAAGCAACACCATGGAGCTGGAAACACAAACTGTGCTGTGTGACACCATTCCAGTGCAATAGAGAAGTTTTTGTTGAAACCACAGAACTGAACTGAACTTTGCACTGGCTACTTAAACACAAAAAGAAAGCAAATGTGCTTCCTGCAGTTTGAAAAACTGCATATGACTGTATCCCCAGAGGCAAATTATGGGAGGTGCTCCAGGACTACAAGAGTCGCATTCCCTCCTATTGTAGATTATGAAATCCCTTTACAGGATGTGTGAAAACTGCACCTGGGTCCATGTCTACTTTCCTGACAGATTTAAAGGCCAGAGAGGAGTCCATTACACGTACAGTGACAGGAAATACTACCTGATTTTGCTATCAAAGCATTCTAAGAGAGAGTATCACCAATTCATATTCATTACGGAAAACAACTTGACTCTTCACACTGGGAAAAGATTTATAGAAGACTCTTGAGACATGCGAAGTATAACACAGTTAAACACACTATTATCAGTGTTGAGATCTTCCCAAGAGCTATTCAGTAGATCTTACTTAAGGAAAACATACACCTGTAAGACACCAAACACTAGCTCTGCAACTGAAGTGACAGCAAGCATGAAGAACCAAGTCAACTGGGTATTCTCATGATGTAAATCACACAGCAAAGACTTTGCCACAAAATGGAGTTACAAGGTACGGCACAACTACCCGTGTGTCAAAGAAATCACAGGTGTCATGAAATATGCTGGAAATGGAGCACGTTCTTATCTTCAATCACTAGGGAGAGATGTCAGCTGTTCTTAGAATGGGAAAGCAAAGCATTCTCTTGATATAAGGCCCATTTGCATTTGCAGCACTAATATCTGACAGTAAAACTTACAATAGAGTGGTCAGATTTTCTCTGTGAGGACCCAGAACAAAGGCCTCAGTTGCTGCCTGCTTAGCATAGTCAACATTCATGACAATCCTAAAAATGATGACTAGCTGATAAACTGAGACACGGGCTTATCAGATTTTTTAATGGAAATCCTGAAATGGTCAAAGTGTGCTAAGTATTATAAAGATTCTGACATACACCCACAGCAGTATGGAAATTTGGAGGAGAGACAGAGACCTCATCTATAGATTAGCCCATTGTTTGCAGCTACTGCATTTTGCATGGCACAGATGTTCATCTGACATAAAGCAAAACCCTACGTTACCAAAGTCTGAAGGGGAAATTAAAGCAATGAGCTTATGATAAATCTCGGAACTTCCTTGCTTTAATATATGTATTGTTTGCTTCCCCCACTGTCTAGGGTGGATGTACCATCAAAGAGATTCAGTAGTTTTGTCTTGGTCATAGCAAGCTATGTATTGTACGTGTGGTACGTACAATACATGTATTATTGATACACACTATTTTTATATTCATATTTAGTACTTCAGTCACCTTTTTCCTCTTGAATGGAATAAAATAAAAAATGCGACAGTAGACCAGGGTAGGCGTACAGAAGCAAAACCACCTCCATTCATAAATTAACTCCTTTCCTGGTCTGACTCATATTTTATAAAACTAACTCTTGTCCCTCCTATTTTAAATGGTTAAATTATTCACTCTAGCCAAATATTTTATATTGCAAATTTTAGCCTGAAGCATTTTGGTTTTATAGTCAAGTTATGAAGCACTGAAGTTAGAAGGTTTTAATAGAAAGGCTGACAGACCCTAAACTACAGCAAAGCTACTGGGTGCCACTATAATAAAGTTCATGTGTAAATGTGTATAAGTCATTGATTTTCTGTAATATAGGAAACATATGCTTTAGTTAACTACTTCTGTAAAATACCAAAGTTTTATAGTTAGCAAATATTAGGAAATGGTAACATTAAAAAGGAGATATATGAGGTGATGAAGAAGACTGGTTCTTCATTTTAATACTGATGACAGGACACTTGATTCCCTCTCGAGAGCAATACTCCTAAGTTCTTGCTTTAGAAATCAGTTTTCAACCTTAAACAAGGGTTGGAAAAATCCTTTAAAAGGGATAAAGTGACCACTGAAAGAGCACCAACAAAAAAAGCAGAAAAGGATTTGTCAATTTTATTCATTTTTCCCTCCTCCCTCTTCTCTAACTCCTTCAAAATCAAAACAAATTAACTCAATTGTTAGACAAACAAAATTGACGTTTTCTTTACTGCCAAAGACTGAGTCTTAAATTTCATAAGATTATGAGTGAAATGAGTGTAGTATACTTAATCAGCTCAATAAAAGACAGTATTCATCATATGTTTAGTAGACTTCTTAAAGCATATAAATAATCAAGCACATATGAAGGCTAGGTTTACCACTGCATTAGTGCTGAAGAACTATATTATGCATTCAGTCATTCTACACATAGAAGACATAGTTAAAATCTGAATTTAGTGAAAATGGAAACAGAAATTTTGGGATAAATTAGAATGATATACCTCATATCCCGGTATTGATCTAACTGACTCTACCACTGCCAAGGACACCAGGTGTTGAATAAAAGGAATTCTCTGGCCTAGGTTGGAATGTAGAGGAATGGCAATATGTAAAGTGGATAGTGCACAGCCAACGGGACTGAGCCAAACATTTCCACCACGACCTGGGAAGGGAGAGAAAAAAAGTTAACTTCAGCTTAAGAAAAAAATATTTATAAAAGATCACTTTGTTAACGTAGACAACTACAAAAGAAAAAGGTTCAATATTATCCATCCAAGAATCTACCATAAATCCTGTAATGGAGTTTCTAAACTAATTTTGAAAGAAAAATGGTTTTAAGTGCAAAGTTTTTTCTTCAAAAAAAACCAGCAGGTTGTTCAACGGGCATGCTGCTACTCAGTTTCCTAGAATGTCCTAAATGACTTGCTTTCAGGATTATCCTGGTAGCTGGTAACATACACGGTTCAAAAAAATCTTACTTTGTTTAAGTGAAAAAGTATTTGTGAAAATGATCTGTGTGCAGCTAAAATTCATCCACACTGTGAATCAACTCGACACAAGCTAGATCTGTGCTGAAATCCAGGGAATCATCTTCATGTAGATCTGTGCTCAGAAGAGCTTATTAGGCAAGGCACTGTGTTCTACTAATAAAATGAATATTGCTTTAAAATCAGCGCTAGCACCTTCCTGGGAAAGACACAGAACTTTCTTATACTTATCTGTGAAAGACTGTGAAAGTCCACATGACAGTTCAGGCATGTCCTGCAGACTCAAGAAACCTCTACCTCAGAGCAAGTCAAGACCCAGCCTTGTTCCAGTTCAGTCAAAAAGAAGTTCTGATTTGGAAGTCTGACATGTATTACACTAAATGTAGTGATGGCAGTTTCCATGACTGGGGAGACTTTTTGGCAGAAACTAGAAGACCACTAAATCATTTCTGCAAAAGCCACCAAACATCCTGAAAATGTTTATTTTGGTCTCTATTAACTTAGGTTTTGAGCTTAAATCCACAGTTCAAGCAGGAGGAGGAGAAGAGGACACGATTATTCTACAGATTGTATTATAAACAATACTCACAATGTTTCTTTAAGGCAGCTAGGTGACATTGAAATGTCCTGTTTCATATGTTTAATACACATTTATTAGTACTAGAAGGAAACTTACTCACCTTTCCCTTGCGTTTGTCGAACAGCAATTGCTATTAAACCCATCTCCTCAGGCAACTCGAACATTAACCTGCCAATTAGGAAAAAAAAAACCCCATGCTTATCAGCTGGAACACTAGGCTACATTCATGAAAATCTAGGCTTAAATATCAGGTAATATTTTACATTAACATTGCACTACCATTTATCCATTTTCAGTTAACATTTATTCTTGACTAAAAAGAATTAGAATATTAAAAAAAGATTAACTGAAAAATGATAATGTAAAACATTACTATATATATTACGCTGGAAAAAGTTATAGCCATCGTTCATTTAAGGTGCCTTCTGATAACATACGTTTTGCATTTCTTCACATTTTCTTGAAGGGCTTACTTTTTGTGTGTCACTATCTTCAGTAAGTGACAACTAGCAATTCTACACATTTGTTTCTACTTACAGCAAATTTTTGTTCATACTATAGAATATAAGAGCAGCAGTTTCTGATTATTTAGAAAACCAATATGGTGGCAATAAAGCAGTTTAAAAGATACACTATCCCCTGAGAACTAATTATGATTTAACTACAGTAAATAAATCTACACCTTCTGAGAACTCTAGAGAACACTGGCTTATTTTAGGCTTGTGTTCTGCTTTTAGAATAGTTTCACTTAAAAGAATACTAACTTTCCTCTGGGGATAAGTAGAAAGTGCACTTTAACACCACCAAATGAGTCAATGCTAGGTGTAAAGAAAGAAGAAAAAACCCTACTTTGAGAACTTCATTCAAGCTACTTTAAAACAGATCTGAACTGTTCTATGATCCTCCTCCATTTCACATTTTCAGGAAGAGTTCTTTAACAGATAAAACAGATATTCAAGATGTTGCCAGCAAGGTAAACCCAGAAAGTGATGTATAGCCTACAAATTTGCTTCTAACATGGGCACAAATATCAAGTTGTTCATTCATGTAAAAGCAATCTTGTCTTGGAGATAAGTGCAGTCCAAATCAGCAAAAAGTACCGTTCAAAATTATTTCCTCTGAATTTCAGATATGTATGGAAGGTGTTTCAAGTTCTGCAATCAAGCAAGTATTCACAGGCAGCAAGGACCAGCTGCAAGCAGAAATGTGCCCCCCATCGCCCACAGACACATGCCTCTAAGGCAGGTGACAAGCAAAGGAACTCTCATCCCTCCTGCTTCACAGGCTGAAAAGCTGGGCTTCAGTAACTCTTGGGGCTGTAGTGGTAGCAAAATGGAAGTAGGATTCCCTAGGTTTCAGAATATCTTTCAAATGGCTGACTCGCTTTCATGATGGTCAAAATGGGAGGTTATTGGATGGCCCAAGCAAAGTCTGAATCACAAATGTATTTGCTAATTAGAAATTTTTGGACCCGATCTGACAGAAGCTGTAACCGTCTCCACAATGTTTTCCTACATTACTTCTGAATCGGTGAGACACTATCGAAGAGCAATAACCAGATCTCTTTGTCAGTCCCCTTACAGTTCATGTGAAATACAGCTCGGTAATTCTTTCCCTTAGACCCTATGGATTACACACTGAGATCAAGCTCGCTTATCTACCAGCAACCTTAAACGTTAAAAATATACCTCTTCTTATGCGGGGACCTAGGGGAAAACCCTCTGTAGCTCACGAGGCTTCAGCCCTGTCTTCTGCAAACAGCATGATTTCAGTTACACCACTAAGTTCAGGGTTTTGCAACATGAAAATCTAATTTGAGTTTGGAAGCACAGTTAGAAAGAGATTACAGGCTTTGTCAAAATACACTGATTTTTGTTACTTCTCCATTCACATATCTGTTTTTAAATAGGAAAAAAAAATGTCATGTGCTGCCTTGATGGGAGGAAAATAATCAGAGCAGGAAAAAAGTTAATTATGAATCCAAAACACAGGCTTCTAGAACAAAGAGATATGATTAACAGAACATATGAATGTAGCTATTAGAGGCTTGGCAGCAGGTAACAACATATTAAATGCAGAGACTGAGTTTGCGCTTTTAAGGGCCATGAAGAAATTCTTTAATGGACCCAACATGGGGAAGTTGTTAATACTCAGACTGATACAGCAAGAGACAGATAGATTTATTTTTACTGCTTCCTGAGATTGTGCTGGAATTACCATGAAGCCTATGATAATAAATAACCCC